CCCACTCGGAGCACTACCTCTGTTAGCAACAAGTTAAAGAAGTCGTATGTAGACTGGACTATCTATATTCGTGTATCCCATTCGGACCACCGTGTCCGCCTACAGCGGTGCCAGCGGCGATAAATCCGCGGGTTCGTTGATGAATTGTTCCCTGTATTATCCCTCCATGTGTCCCACCATTCCACCGGCTTGATCTAGCCCGTATCCACCGTAGCTACCTGAGAGTAAAGTGAAATAGCAATTCATCAATGTGATCGATTGTAATAAAAAATGCTATCTGTCTGAAAAAAACGAATTCCGATATCATCGTGCAAAGTGTACCTTAACCATGTGCTTTTACTTACCTAGGGAATCACTCCAATAATCCTACTAATTTTTAACGGATGTCACAAACCGCTCTCAGGAGTTGTGAATCTTTTCTGACCTTCTCGGAGTCACGTGCTGTTTAGATACTATTTCAGGCCTGTTTGAACCTGTTTTCAGTGCAGATTATCCTTATGAATTTTTGTATGAAATATGACTCAGACTTACTAAATTGTAACTAATTAGTCAATCATTGGAACATCAAATATGGTGACATTCCGCAGAAAACGTGAATCGCTTTATACTAGTCAACTAAAACAGACAGTAATTTCGACGCTTCATTCAATCGCTCGTACGGGCACACATTTTCCCTAACTCTAATGAATTCGTGTTGCACGGGGTGAGGCATTCTAAGGGCGCTGTGTTTTCTGCTAACTTCTTACATCTAATCCTTGATGTACCATAAAGTATTTCGTAAATCAGCTAAGAGTTGACGATTTTTCGTCAAGCTACAATTCAATCGCAGACAAAAACTCTCAACAAAGAACACATAGACACCTTGAGTTACAGATGAGTATCTTCGGAAATAGCTGTTATTTGCCTATTCGCCTGTCATTTTTGGTCGCTATCGGCCAAACTGGGCATACAGTTTAGTTGCTAACACAGGTTTATTTTTTAACGTTACATTATCTCAATACTATTACCCACCCCGTAAACATCGGTCCCTCCTAATATGTACTAAGAGCATTGAATTTTTGGGATTAGCATAACTCTATGTGCATATCCTGTTCGGATATATGTAACAAAATGAGGTGAAGTTGTTTAATAGCTCAATGTACAACCGAAATAGGTTTAACGAAAAGCATTTCCCTAATCATTGAGTCGTTATTTTCGTTTGCTGCCATGAATAATGTTCTTATTAGATACAACTCCATACAGGTCTGTTCGTCATTGCACGTACCCCTTTCAGGCCTAAGAAGCGGCAAACGCGTTTAGACAAAGAAAATGTACACGCAATTACATCTTACAAAGGCTAACTTATATCTCATAAAAAAGGATATCGAATGACTTAAACAAAAGCATCCCTCTAGAAAAATAATGGGTTTATTATCGTCTTAGTATTTTGAGTATAAGTATACTCTATATATTTATGTGAAACAAATACTCTGTACTTGTCTTATATCATATGATAAATGAGCATGTGGAGAATTAGGAGGTTCAACACTGAAGTCATTTTTGTATCGACGGAATAATAGTCGCTTAGATTGACAGTGACCTCATCGGAACAGTTTAAACGAATGGCCGCTCTGTCAGATCGTATTAATCCGCGATTTATTATTTTGTACAAAAAATCTAAACTAGCTTTAACCGAATATTCTCTAAATATATTGTTTAAAAATAAAGATAGTAAAAGATAAAGATTACTATTTTAGAAACGAGGTGTAGATGATGTCAGAAGCGTGTTGCTGAGTAATGTATCAACTGGAGAGTCTTTTCAGAAAAGTAACCTTCTTATAGATAAAACTAATAAAAATCTGAGAATTCGACTCAAGTTAATCGACTATCAAACGGCGACATACCATTCAAGGATGGAAGTTTCAAATTGAACCGAAGTACTTTTACCTGTGGTTCAGGCACAATGGTAGATAATTCACTAATTTGTATCTGCATTGATCGTCACTGGCTTGATCTGAGCGGAAAGACTTTGTATTAGAAATCAGATCAATTTAAGTGTTAACCTTAAGCGGACAGTAAAGAAATGTATCCGGTTGAGATTACGAAATAAAATTTACGTAAAAGACACTGCTCTGCTGAATTACTACGGACGTCTGCCGAAACAAATTATTATGGGCTAAATTTCCACGAATAAACGTATAATAAAACCTTCAGTTTTGAGTTTTATGTCTGGCAATGCCGTTAGGCCATGAGACGGCTGACTGTCAGTATGAAGACCACCCACCACGTGTCCCTACAAGCAAACATGTTACCCACTAATCTACGGTACGGACCCCTCCTGCACTTTGTTGCATTGCCTTAGCCTACTGATGTACTGCCATATTTTTCTATTTATCTACTACAACTACAGTTTCTATTCATCACGATGTCCATCGTCAAGATATCTCGAGTTGCGCTCTAACTCCCATTAGGAGCACAGCTACTAAAAGCACTTTGTCCGGATCACAAAAGGCCAAAGCAGCCGAACCGGCAAGTTTAACTACTTAGCGTAAATTTTTGTAATGAACTTATATTTAAAGCTCTGCTACCATTAGATAAGGTTTTCTATCTCTGTATTGGAACAAGTATCCGTTTCGGGTAGCAACAAGCAAATAAACTTATAAGCTGCGTGCTGGTCCAGTACATGCAATCTTTGCTTGAGCTTCGCCACTTGCTGGACGTGTTCTTATAGTCGTACCAGTAAAGGCAAAATTTATTCCCTTCTTCACTACGGGACTAATCAAGGCCGTCGTCTTACATTTCCAGCGAATTCCTCCTTTCTGACCTTTCTCGTCAGGATTTCTGCTTGGAGGCTTCCAACAAGCGCCGACCACATATTTCCGGTTGCATCAAGATGCTGTATTACATTGAAGTTAAAAAACAACTTCAGCGAGAGACAAATCACGTTCAAATGGGCCGTCCTTATGAGAACGGCCATCAAAACAACTCGTACTGTTTAGGGAGATTAGCACTGTTCTCAGACAATTCAGTGACGTCTGATCCTATCTGAACGAGATGTCGTTGATGTGTTATATATCAATTATCTACATAATTACATACCGTGTTATATATAGAATTAAGTGACGATATTAACTTTTCAGATAGAACTATAACTTTCAGAATAAATATGCGGCAATGTTAAGTTAGAGTATCGTCAGCATAGCTTGAAAATAGATAGCAATGCCGACATGAACAGAACGATGATTAATGTAACAACTACATAAGAAACGGAACGTTTTTCGCATTCGCACAAGAACTAGTCTATACGGCTCGTTTCCGGCGAAAAAATTCCGAAATTAATCGCGAAGCCCTCTTCAACTGTGTTTTTTTTTATTTTTTTCATTACTTACACTAAAACCTGTCCTATCAGTTAGTCCCGATGTGATGTTTTGCTTACATGATTACGCCTGTTCCGCAAATCAGACCTACAAATGGCATTGTGGCGCTAGCTATATACTTTCACTTTTATGTGTTATATTGATGTTACAGCCTTGAAGTGAAAATTACCCCTTTTATTTGCTTATCTAGCGGTGACTGTTTGTTTTTCAATGCTTTGGTGCGTCTGTTTGGTGTTTCCAACGCGTCAGCCCGGGTGAAAATTTTTTGACAACTATGTCGGGTTCTGCGTTGGCGGCCCCAGAAATTGTAAGATCACTAGGTAGTATTACAAGCGAGCTAAACAGAAAACAATTTAAAGCGCTTCTTGAACTGACAGCTCAGCTGGCGTCATTGAATCAGTTAGGATTATCTGTCACATAAAGCTCTGCTCAAAGTAACATCGCAGCGCCCTACTAGAAGTCACGGGAATTAGTGTTAGCTTCTAGGCTCTATCATTAGCATAATTATGACACCATCGTTCTCCTATTCGTCACACTGTTTCCGTCTCATGTTGGAATCTCCTTTGTTCTAGAGAATTCCGATAATAATAGTACTATTTGTAAGGTTACTAGAAGATCCTAGAATATTTCTATGCATCTCAAATCGCAACCCTTGTTAAGTCACCATGTAAATATTTAACGGGTGTGTGCTTAAGTCTTAATTTTATGGTAACCCCAATAACTCCTCAGCTTATTTTTATTACGTTCTGATCCTTAAACGATTGACTGCTGGCCTGTATTTTAGAAAATATATGTTGTGTCCATTAAGCCAAGAAAATGCTGTTCGTGCTTATAGTCTATCTAACAAGAACGTATATAATGTATTATTAGCTGTTCGACCTAATTTTGTTTTTCGGCAGTTGCTACACTTATAACTACAGTTGCAGCACGAAGCTTCTCAGTTTCAAACAATGCGCTGTTCCCTCTCTGATTTTTGTGTTGTATTGTGGATTCATAATTTATCTTGAAGCGAAATAGCGAGTGGCGCGCTCTATCTTTTTTCGTAGATCCCTTTTTGATGGATCAGCCTCTGGTCGGTCACGATTACTCACGCAAGATTTAAAGACCAATGAGGGCGTAAAATATCGGTGTCACTATAAAACCTGAGCGTAGTTTGCAATCGACGCGTTCGAGTTATGAGTGTTGTACCCTGTGTAAAGTTAGTCCTCCAAAGGGTAGCTGTACAACTCTTCTATAATGCTGGTTTGCACACCGGGAATCGCTACTTTAACTGCCGTCGGCTCCGCTTTAAAGAAAGATGATACGTTTGCGGAGTGTAGTTCTCTGCAGACGAAAATTTTAACTAAAAAAAAATCGGAGTCAAAATTGGTGAAAATTATTTCCGCAAAAAGCCGAATTCGTATCGAGATAGAACTATCTAGAACACGCCTATATATATATATATATATGTTTTTTTTAATAGACGTCTGACCTTTATAGCTGGTCCCGTGTGCGACCGCTTTTCTTTTTCAGTTTGCACTAATATTTCTATGTATTTAGGTGTAATAGCGAACGCTCATACCCATGCCCTTCTGTTGCATCCTCTTGTAATCTCAGTGGGTTCGCATTATTAAAATGTTTTTATACTCGTTTTCATACATCCAGGATATGACCCGCGAGCAGGTAGTCGAGGAGAAACTGTGCATGCAGAAAGCTCTGTTGGCATTCGAGAGTATCCATGGGCGTCCAAATTCACGTGCGGATCGCCACCTCTTACGCCCGTTATACGAGCGGTATCGCAGTGTGAAACGCCTTGTTGGCGGAGGCTCATTCCAGGGTTCCGCAGGTGGATTAGTACCTGCTAAGGAAGACACCTTACAGCCAATTATCGAGCATGTTCAAATGGACTTCAAGTCGCTACCTCTACAGACAACACCGCAACCGTTACAGCACGCTGCTAACCCAGATTTTGAGGCCATCTCCGCCCATATGGTACGATAACTTTTCGGAACTCTGAGCAAAAATATAGAATAACATATACGTACTGCCGATAGAGCTAAAACGTCTAACTATTACTGTCGATTTATCGTCCCCTATTCAAACAAAGATTTGTTTCCGCCACTATATGAGAGCGCTTATCAATGTGTCAAAATTTCCAAATGCTCGTTCGTGATTTTCATGTCGCTCGTACATAGGAGAGTGGTGACATTCTTAATGGCCTAGTTTCGAATCCGGATCTCCGTGGACACGAATCTTCCCCGCCACTGACTCCACTAGAGAAGGAGTCGTGTAACCTCCACGAGCTACCTCTGCCTGAACTACTAGAGGAGCAGCGCAAAGCACGAATTGAAAAAAAACGCTTGCGAAAAATTCTCCGTACATTTGAGAAGGACTTTCAGCTTGCTACAGGTATGTACCCAAATTGGTTTTTACAATTTCTAAACATTTTTGTTTCAGTAATTTCCAACGTGTAAGGGGGCGTTGTAGATAGCTAAGAAAGAACTAATCACTGTTTCAAACTTTGTAACAAAAAAGTGACTAGAATCATAATTGTTTAACCCATAAATAGATGTCACGTTATGTACAGACTATGTACTGTTTGTGCAATATTCTCCATCATACAGTAGACGGGTTTTAACGGCATCTCTGTAGATTGCTTGCGCCATTACGACATAACCACGTACCATATGGGATAGTATCAGACATCGTATCATCAGCCAGTTACTACAAGTAAGCAAAATAAAGGTCTCATATTCCTCATCATGTGCTGCATCTACTCATTTTTGTTTGACGATCGAATGGGTTTTAGCATTTCCGTTATTTTGCCCAGAAGTTCTTTTCCGCTCACCTCGCTTTTGCTACCAGTTTAACGGGCCAAACTGTGCGCAACATTTACGTCTATTTTGTCGCTTATTGTTCGTCAGCTGCACGTCATTCTTACACCTAAGAACGATTTGATTCAGCCCGTTTAGTTCCTGGGGCGTTTCACTCGGCTGCCTCCAAAATACAATTTCTATTGATTTGACTTATGACCCGTTCACAAAATAACTTCTCTAAAATTCGTAGCTACATCTGAATTGACCCACATCAATTTTCAGGTTTGAAATGATGCTCGCTTAGCGCTTAATACTGGATAATACTGTATCTATAAACAAAACCATGTTTGTGTTAGATTTAACGCACATCAAATGGGGGCTAACTATAACGACTTTTAGCACATTTAATTTTTATAAAATAGGGGCTTCTGCAGTGGATGATATTAACCTAAATTGATAACGAACGAAACTATATTATAAACTATAGCAGCGTTGTCAAAATGCCTGCGCTGACACGTAGTTACAAACAAAGAGCGAAAAAGCGCAATCGTAATCATGTACTACACAGAAAATAAATCATGACGTGTACCATGTTTCATTTCGATATGTTTACAGGTCGAAAGGTTCAACGCGAAGACCGACATCCGATGGAAAATAACTACACGGAATATAAGCACGTAAAGGCTCGTCTGCGCCTCATGGAGGCATTGGTGCTTAAAAATGAAAACCAGGTAAAGTGTTAAGTCTCAATAGTGGTCATAAAAATGGCCGATCAAAGCCCATTGGCCTTCCAGTGCAAAAGAGGTGCAAGAAGTACAGAACTAGTGGCATTAAGACTGCCTCATTAACAGAGACCGTGAACCGCACCGGAATTTTTTTACAGACGATTGAGGGAGGATGAGGAATGACATCCTGGACGCAAGGGTCATCCTCATTATCATTATCATCCACGTCATTTACTCATATCTTTGTCGCAACGTTAGTTCATCACAGCGACGTGCCGTGACAAAAGTACAGTAAATAAGGAACGCAGATAGAGGTTGACCATAGGCTTGAAATATAGGAATCACGCATAAACTAAAAACACAATGGGCGAACAGTTGAAGGCACGTTTCCATCTTATCCATCACCAATATGCGCTCGCTGTATACATCATCGAGATTATATTGAGGAACATATGTTTGTGTGACAAAGCGGCAATAAGCTCGAAATTTGTGATTTTGTCATATACGGTGTTGAATTGAACAACAAGAAAATGTCATATATTTAATCGTGTCGGGAACCGCAGTCGCCGTAATCATACCTATTATATATAAACACAAGATTCGAAACGTAACGTTGTACTGTTATCGTATAATTAATTATCTGCAATAAATATTGTATGTGAACGGAGACACAGCTAGGTCAACCGGAACTAGGGGAAAACAAAAGTTCCGAGAAAAAAACACTGTCAAATTTGCATTTGGCTAAATGGACACAAATATTAAGTGTCATCAGAAATGGCAACAGAAATAAAAAGGAAATAAATACATGCAAACAGTAATTTATAGCTTCAATTGATATATGTAGCCGGAAACTAATATATTGTGTCCAGGTATATATATATATATTGGTCACGATAAAATCAACCTGATTAGCTCGCAGATGCAAGACCGCTTCGATACGACATCTTAACACTGCAATCATTGTTTTCAATAGTAACGTTGCTGACCGATTGAGCAGCTTAGCAGTAACTGTAAAAATAACAACCGCTTCAAAATCGTCATTGTATTCCTAAGATGCGCTTGCAGTTACATAATAATAGAATCGAAAATAGTGAGCACTGTTATGTTGTTATAAATAAAACACGTGGCACAGTAAGCAAATCAAACAATAGAGCCAATATAGGACGTCGAGCGTGTTGTATTTGTGGGTCTTTAGAAAAAAAAAAATATATATATATATATATATATACACTTTTTTTTTAATTTGGGGATCATAGAGCCACTCTGTCCCAAAGATCTCTTAACAAATGAATATACTGTAGGTCATCATGAAACAGAAACAAGCCTCTACAGAAACGAAACCAGAGGGGTGGATGTGTGTGAAATTCATCGACATCGAACTTGCCCCACTCGTTACTTTTAAGAAACTTTCGATCAAATTTTAGAGGTTGCAATTAGCAAATTTAAGAATCCTTATGCAGTATTCCAGTAAACCTGAAACGAAAAGTTTGGACTGCAGGCATTAGGTCAATATTATGCCAAAACATATAGAGTACGCGACCCTTCGCACTGCAGATGGAGGTCGAGTGGCAGTTGCCGATTTGGCTGAAGCGCTTTTTGTGATGATGTCTGTCACTGCATTTTAGAACACCTGCGCCCCTAACGCAAACTTCGGACGAATATATCGACATCCTTTGACCTTGACATTGAAAATTATCAACAGCTCTTTTTCTAGATAAAAGCGACTTATCAACAGATTATTCGCTATTTTCAAACGAGTTGCTAACGTCACAGCTAAATAGGAAGACCAAAATCAATCTCATTTCTAATGATACTATGGAACGAACGGAATCGTTAAGGCTGCGAGAAATTAATCAGCCAACACTGACGCGGTGACGACTACAACTAGTCTACGGACAACTCAAAAGAACAAGGGACATGGTCCATTAATAGAGTTTATGTTTAAGACGAAGCGAAACTTCATTGAGCGATCTATAATACACCATCTGACTCTATTCTCAGTTAAATTTTTCAAAGCCTTAATACAAACTGACAGGCCTCCGTTGTCTATCTGGGCGATTATATCCAATGTGTTTACTTTCGAGGAACCTAACCGTTTGAGAAGTTCTGCGGTGACACATCGTCTAATAGGAAACGATCTCACTGTGACTCGGCTCCCGCGAATAATTTTATCTATCTGTATGTTTGCGGGAGGCAGAGAGACTAACCGCTTTTTTTCGCTCCAGATGCACTGTGCAATATGGCAGGATGCGTCTGTTTGATGGTACTGTGCTTCCTATTGCTCAAGAATAATAGAACGTTATATAGTTACTAATACTGATTATAAAAGAACACGTCAATAGCATATATATATATATATATATATATATATATATATATATATATATACGTTTGAGGTTGTTGAAAGTTTATGTCGACAGTGCTGAATAGTCCGCTCGGCAACATCACGCCACTGGTGTGCCTCGCGTACCTCAGGAACTTCAAGACAATTTGGATCGCTCAGTCTGAAAAAGGCTTCGAGCGCATAGAAGCGCTGTCTTGCTAGTTGTTAATATCCTTCATTAAGAAAACATGATGGATGGACTCACTAGCCTACCATATGTTATGATCAGTTCTCGCACTTGTTATCTGATGTTCATAGTTACATGCTTATATATCAACCAGTAGCGATAAAAGTTTAAGTAAAAATGCACGCGAAAAACAAGCTGAGTCTGACACGAAACAATAATGGTAAGAGACCTCACTTACATTGGTGTTTTCGGTTAGCAATTAAGGCACCTATATAGCAGCTGGCTTTAATAATTTTAACTGAAAAGACACAAGAAATTGAAACAGCTATCCACGAACTGCAAGCTATCCTAATCTTTTAGGTGTAACCAAAGCGGGTTGTAAAAACGGGTTTTTGACCGGGTTTATTACAAAGATAAAATAGACTTAATGGTGCCAAGGGGTCAACATGATATAGATGTTACAGCCGCTAAGAAGAGCGTCCTCTGTAGGTTATTAAATAATGTTTTTCTCTGTCGACCGACGAGACTGAATTGTCGTCAAACGTCGTTTGACGCTTTATGATGCGCGTGTATAGACGCAGAGAAATTGCTATTTAAGATGGGACGGACTCGTATGAAGAACACATACCAGCGTCAGAACATACAACAGATACCCACTAGTGCAAAGGACAAACTAGTGCATACTTTTTACATTGAAAGGAAAACAGAAGTAACTACTTGTTATTTAACATGAGATTCTATAGTTAATTCCAAGAAACGAGACACTAATTGACTAAAGAACACATTGAATCCCTCTGTGGACAGTTCCATACCACTCTTTTTTATAGCAAAGATAAAAAAGTTCAACCGCTGATAATAACAAGCCTTAATAAACAAAAAAAAACAATACATTCAAAAGTAAATAGGTAAAAACGTACTTGTTGGTCACGTCGAGTTAGAATCTTCAATGGTGGCATGTTCGACACGTGACACATTATTTCTACCACGAGTAACTACTAATAATAACAGTGATGGTAATTACAATATTATGTTGTATGATTACATCGATTGTAGTGACATAGATAGATAAATAAACGCGAGTAAAAAAGATAACCGCAGAACAGAGCTCATTTTGCCTCAGATGGATTGAGGCACACTTCCTTTTTTCTCGACATTTGATTAGTAATAAAACGTCCCGCCGTATGCAGATAGCAGCATTAAGAGAGAAAACAATATAAGCAATCGTTCTGACAAGCCAACATAGTGAAAATGTTGAAAACAACGTAACTTTAGGGTATGGACCGAAATACTGTCAACTGGGAATCCAAATGAAGATGTTCTTTAAAAGTAGAATGATATATCACGCTATTATCATTATCACTATTATAGGAAAGCAGTAATTGACGATGAAGATTATGATATAGATAATAATGACAACAACGACAGTTACCGTGGCGGTACACTATAAAGGTATACACTACCATGAAGTGGTAAGCGACTTTCAATACCACTAAAGCTATATTATAAACACGAATTAAAGAAGTGGAAAAGGTGTTCAGGTAATACTAATGATGAACAATTAAGTAATATTTAAATTAGCAGTACAGATGAGTAAACGAAGGTCTCCCAACCACCACCTCATTAACGGCTCGCACCGAACTGCCGTTGCTGCTATTGTAGCTTTATAAGAATTTGTCCTCTGAACAGCCACCGCCGGGTTGGTGTTGCCGTTCTCATCTGTTCGGATTGGAAGGCTCCGCGAATTATTTCATGTATTTGTACACTTCCTGTCTATGTCCATATATGCTAATTGATCAGCTAAGGTTAGAAGCCAAAATGAGGACGGCAATTGGCTGCCAAATGGTAACGGAAGTGATACGTAAAGCTCTGCATCTCTGTCATAACGTCACAAGCAACACTGATGGCTAGATGTGATTGATCATTGATAGGAAAATGCTTCAACTACCTGTTAAACATGTCAGAAAAAGATTGACTCGCTACACGCTTAGCCTACTGCTTACGCGCTACGCTATAATTTAAGCCACCAATCACTCCGACATAACAAACAAGATTAGTTATTCATTATCACTGTTTCAGGTGTTTTTTTTTTCTTAATTAACGTAGTAAAATAAGGGCGGGTCATTTTGGCCGAGGGTAAGTCTGCGAATCGTAGCGAGTGTCATCCCTACAATTTAGGTATCCAATCAAACCCAGTACTCATTCACTGTGTATACATTTGTCACCAATAAATATCGCTAATAAAAAAATCTCCGCGGAACATTGCATCGATATCAAGAGTGGACTATATAAAATTGTACGTAATTATATATGCAAGTGTACAGTTATGATTAACGTTGCTTATGTTGAAGTAGCGCGCTTCTGCTTTTCGTATGAGCTTAGAAAGAGGCTTTTTATCTGGGGACCCCCTATCGTTATACCGTTGCAACTAGGCTTAAAATTAGCTTTTATAGCTATTCCTTATAGGAACAACTAGGCAAATAATATGTTAAAGTTGTAAACAATAGTAAAAAGAAGGTAATATCTTTATTACAATTCTAACAGTGCACCTATGCTCCTAATGTAAAAACTTTTTAGTTTGGGACATTCAAAATCAACATCGTTTATCATTAAGTTTGCAAGTTACCAAAAAGGTGTGCTATTTTGAGCAGGAGTCGAATTTAACTATCTATCTAGTTGTATGGTACGCGATCAGATTTTATCGAACGATCGAAGCCACACTGTGTGAGGCAAAAGTACCTTGTCGTAAGCACACGCGAAGTTTTTCATAGATTTCATACACTGAGTTTTTTTGTCCTGTTCCACCTCAGTTTCCAATAGGATTTTTGTCGCGTTACAAGATGTTCGTCGTAGTTAGCAGTAATGCGATCTAGAAGTATCCTAAGTCCTTTAAAGACGCTTTAACTTCCATTAGATGTTAGAACACGGACTTAAGCGGCTCGGAAGCCATCAGCGACTCGAGTTCGCCTAAAGCGAAGATCGCCTAAGACTGAACGATAAATTATAACACGATCAATTGACATAGCGCGAAGTAGTTGGACTGTTGCTTGTCTGTACGAGCAAAAGCAACGAATTATCCGTGCCCACGACCAGGTATAGTAAGTCCAGTATGAAAGTTTCTATTTGGAGTACAGCTGCTTTTACCCGTAGCTAGTGGAGAGTAGGACGTCGACAATGGAGGTACTATTCGGTACTGAAATATCAGAGAGCAGAAAGTTTCAGTTGTTGCCAGTTCTGACCTTATCCACATTAGGGTTGAGGAGGAGTGGAGTGGCTCTTGGCGAAACCGTTTTTGTGAGAAGGAGACAGAAGACAGCATGCTACGATGACATTAAATGTCAGCACCATAGCCCCTTCTCGTTAAGGATAGTTTACGTTAGAGTCCCACAAAATTTTCTAGTACGACACAAGTACCAACAAATATTTATATCTGCGGCAAATAAACATGATTATCTGTTAACGGTATGATCAAAATGTATGGCCAGCTAAAAGACAATGATCCTACGTGACTACAAACGCGCGATGCACGGACCACGTGACGTTCTCTGTCAGAGATCCGGGTCGTGCTACTAGCGGGCATATTGCCGCCGCCGACAAAGGGAAAAACCTTGCAGTCAATGCACCCTCAAGCGTTCTGTCTCTTTCCGTAACACATTCGTAGATATAATCACATTTTAAGATGATTTATTTTGCATAACTTTTAACAAACCGCTTTCATCAAACATCTTTGTAAAACGCGGCATCATTTAGCTGCTTATCGTTTTATGCATTGTTTACCAAACGAGAAGTTAATAATCACGGGTCTAGATCCACTAGACATCAGAAAAACAATTATGATGCTAAAACGTGGGCAAAAATAGTAGCCACATCGATGCCTCTTTTTTGTTTACATACAAAGTTACGAAGAAGCCATTGAAAGTTGACCTTCGACCGTTTGATAGCCACCTAAATCAGGAGAACATTTAATTATCTCCCAGGCCTGTCAGAGTATTTCTAAAAGTTTCCGAAGAGAATGCAACAATGCCCAACCCTCGGTAATTAATACTGTATAGATAATGTCTTTATATATTTTTCATGCAAGGATTCATGCAATTCATCATGCAAGGTGCTTAAACAATTACAGCCGTTAAGGTGTTACTGAGAGAATATCTCGCCATTTTGCCGTCAGACTGTGGCTCCATTTTGTTTTGTTGTTAATAGAACATGCTTGATAGCACCTCACCGCTATTGGTTGCCCATAACTAGATTGACAATCTTTTCAGTTGCGTTCTGTATTTTTTTTTGTGAATAAGACGACTTCAGTAAAGGAAGACTGTTTTTGCTCATCATGTTTTAGGCTTGGAATTCAGGTGAGCAAATAAACGTGTCATCGAAGCCAACCGGTTCGTTAAGAAACAAATAATTACCAGTAGCATAGAACCTGTTTATTTTTCGATAAATCGAGAAGCACATGTTAGTAAACTTCAAAAGCTTGCTGTTCACTCCGGCATCGCTTCTTTCCGAGGTGTCACAGAGATAGACGTGTATTCAAAACATAACTTGCACAAACGACAATTACGTGATATATAAAATACAGGCAAGAAGCTCCAAGTCACTTTTTTTATTCTGCTTTTATCTGAGTAATTGAATTCTACACTGCCATGGAAAACACGATGTAAAAGAAGAATCTTCATTAATTTTCTTGAATATATTTAACGTAGGAACTTATAAGATATTTTACATGGTTTGGAAGTATGCAGATTGACGGAGGCCAGGTTTACGGAAAAAGTTAAAAGTAAAACACGACATTTTCTCAACCTTACAGCGTTATATATACAGAAATCTCCACTATTAATGAGCTGATCTTTCGGTGTATAGAACTTGCGTATGTGTGATTCTTTGCACACCTAAATGCTTCTCCCGAAAATTGTCTATGTTGGCTTAGAGAATATTGAAGGCGAAGTTATTTTGTAGAAAGACTGCTTTCTAAAATATATTCAGAAGCTAGTACTGATCAGGGCGTGCCACTGTCATAAATCATAAGTAGCGAATAATCGTATACTAAATTTGGAAAGATAATAAAGATTATTATTGTCAAGAGATTAAAACTGATTAAGGTGATCGGATGACGTTTACGATTACGTCATAAAAGTGATTAAGTTAGGACGCCGTTCCAGTGACAAAATAAGTTTATTTTCTTCGTAAAAGCGCTACCTTCTTCTGAGCATGAAATAATTATTACTAAATATTTGATTGTGGCACGCTTACATATGTAGGAATGTTCGACCGTGCATATTGGATTTGCCTTAACTACAATGGTTTACCGAGCATGCGTGGGAATCATGGTTGTTAGAGATGAAGCTTACGCACGATGGGTGCTGATATTTACAGGTACCTATGGAGATGTGATACAAATCGAAAATTTAAATTAGAATAATAACAAATTATCATTGCATCTAGGCTTCGCGCTTTACTCGTTCTTAGCAATTTCTATATACAAACGACACCGGCATTCCTGTGAACGTGAGTTGGAAAATGTACTAATATATATGTTCAAGCATAGGCAGTGCTATCATACTATAAACGTGAATACTTTTTAGTGATCGGAATAAATAAACCATAACCTAATAAAGCAAACCTTAGTATTCTTTGGCCGGGTTATTATATATTATTAAATAAGTCCTTTATTCAAGTAATTCATACCGCTAAAAGCGGTAACTTACATAGCCAACATTTCAGTACTGAAGGTACTAAAGGAATTCAGTCATAGAAAAAATTCATTAAAGAATTGAATAGTATCGTAAACATGGGTCATGTTGTATGGTGAGTGAGCGAAGCTTCCGTGAACGAATCCTTTATCGCGGATATGATATTCGCCTACTACGTTAGGCAGGGAAGCAATTAAGGCTTTTTGATTCTGAAACGCACAAGACACAAAATATATAAAAACGAAACAAAATTTTAAATATTATAATATTTTACAAAGAGGATCAGTAAGGGGTTCTCGTGTTTGGGGGAGGGAATGACTTATGGGTGAAAAGCAGTGGGCTTAAGGCCTGATGTGTGTGATTGCGGTGCCGCCACTTCCCGTTCTCGGATTTCCTCCCGTTCGTGAATGCATCTCCGAATAGCAACTGCATTTTATTCGTTACAAGATGAATCGTCTCGGTGAGACATGGAACAATATCATGACTGTCATTACCTATCTGGTTCTTACAGGGAGCTTTAAAATGAGAGGTAAAAGAAAAATAAATACCAAGCTGCGTGTCCTATATTGTTACCAACTTTTTTTTTGGACTCCAAAAGTTAGCTTTGCGTGCATACTCGATACGTGTACCCGCATAGATGCATAATATGGATACAAGCAATGTACGTAACTTTTATGTTGGAAAGTTGCAATTGGTCATACTATAAATATGAATTTTCTCACGTTAGTTGTAATTAGCGTATCTCCATCTGAATAGTAGACTTTTACCGGTACGCGAATATTTTCAGTTGATAAAACGGGCGGCCTTATATCGCCGTACACCTGCAAACGAAAATTGGCAGTATATAAACGAATAGGTTTTGTAATAGCTGAAGTTTTGCTAATTCTTTTGTTAACTTCCGCCTCCAGAAAAGGTAGGGTCGTTTAGGGTATTTCAGATAAGACTAGGGTATCCAGCTATATTTTTTTATGGCAGATTAGGATAGATACAAAGTATATACGTCTACTTCACTGTAGTCAGATCCGGCTCAAAAAATTATTTCAGTTTTTTAGTTCAAAATATTGTTTAGTTCATTAAAAATTTATTTTTATCAGAGCTCCGCACGACACGTCACATGAAACTTTTCACACGTGTTAATGCAAGGCGGCCAATGTTGAAGAAAATTTGAAATCGTTTGTCTCAAAATGTCCATTTATTTAATTGGTATACTGCCCCTTCAGTAGATAAATAGTAGTATATCGCTGGCAGATATTAATACCTCTTGGTTGTGTCCATAGAATTGAACTGCCGGGTCGTGGAGTAATACCTCATCTCCGTAAAAGAGCTCGTCATAATTAAACTCGAATACGCGCTTTTCGCCTAAACAAGCGACTTCCTGCATCTGTAAACGAAAATAATCATAAGATTGTGAGACGTCTCTGAAAAAACAAAGTTTATTACTAACCTATGCTTTTCACCCAAGAAAACTGCCTATTATCTGTTTATCCAGAGTCTTATTTAGAATGACGTGATAAACAGATTCTCGTTATTCGCCACTTCTCAAAAAAAATAAATTAACAATTTTATTGCAGGTTTACTCGTCCACGAGCCATACAAGTTAAAAAAAATCAATCCTAAATAGTTATCCGCTGATTTATGTTTATAAGATTAGCGACGAAATATACACGCTGTTTTTTTATCCATTCTCTACGTTTGCTCTTAATAAGCAAGATGAACGAACCAATGCGTTTGACGTAGTGAATACTTCAAAGCAATACGATAAGGCAATGTACTGTGAGCGCCAAGATTCACCCGAGGATTCAAAAATTGCGCACCTCGTAGTACAAGATCAGCTCTCTGTTCTGGATACGTAAAGTGGCCATATGGTGAAGCAATGCAATAATCATACCTCAAGTAAAAAAAAAGGCATATTATCGTTTTAGGTTTTGATCGATTACTGCTGACATTTTTTATTTTTTTTTTGTAATATAATTGATGATCAGAATTGTTGAGTTTACTAACGGATATAGTATAATAGGTATCCAGGCCAGATAGAACGAAAAAAGCGGCTACTTTAAGCCCCTTTAGCATAGGTTGGGCACATGGAACTCTACTGACCTGTGGCACACAATGCCCTCATAAAGGATCCTCTAACACTACAGTTGGTCCGGCTTCAATAAAGTCGCTCTCAAAAATGTTTCTCTGTGGGATGCATAATGGGAGACCATCGAGAAATCATGCAAATTCTAGTAAACAGTAAGTTAATCCTTAAACCAAGTAAAAAAAAAAAAAAAAAATCAAAACACGACATCTCAAGGTCTGTATTCGCAATTTGACAGATCACAGCCTTGTACTTTTCTAGGGCGCGGATAACTGAAAGGGATGAGTGGACAAAGATTAAATTTTCTGCGCAAAAAAAACTGAAAGTATGAAGATATAGCAGAACTACAACAGCAATCTCAGACAGATCAATTTATGCGACTTACAATTAATTGGATAAAGGATTAGCTTGAAATGGATGGAACTGTTTAGGATACTCATAAACGACGTTCCTGAAGGTCAAACATCAAGGAGCTTTACCAGCTAAGAGAACGGACTAGAAAATAACAAAGAAAATTTGTAAAACAATTGAGTGCCTATCGCATTTCAGTGTGTTGTGAGTAGAACAGTTAGATTGTTACAATGGGACATACTATCAACGCAAATGACGGAAGAACAACAATTTTTCGATGACAAAGTGTGAGCAAAATGCTCAATTGTCGTTTACGAGTAATAGGTTTAATAGTAATAGAGGATATACATATAAATAAATAGCAGCGCAAAACTTGGGGCGATAAAGTTATATATGAATTAAGTAGCACGATTTCATTATTCGATAACTGTAAATCCACATGTTACACAGAAGACCATGTTAATTTCTCAGGAGTGTGGTACGGCGTTTTAACTAAAGAATTAACTAAACCATTCTGACGGTACAATGACTGGCCCAAATCACCTGAGTGTGCTGCAAGAGTCTGTTTTATTACGTATTTGGGAGAACGTCAGTGTGATGGTAGATGCAGTTTCCAAGAGCACATCGTGAATATGGTCTTTCCTGTACGGATACCTCAAAAATAAAATCGGCGACAGTAGACGACTTGAAAGCCACAATCGAACAAAAACGAGCCGTAATACTTTATTCAATATTGGCTGTTGCTTGGAATCAATAGCATATCGATATGAGACATGCATTGACCAGAACGATCATAATGGTGAATATTTACGGTTTTAAAAGGTGTCCACATGTGATTTTGGAACATGGAATCCGTTCATTTTTCTTTTCTTATTTAAGAGCTATACATTTAATGTAAACTATTTTTCAATCTAAGTTTTAATTCTATCTGACAAGGCAGTAGATTAGTACGACGCGAAACACTCTGCAATCAGTATCGCTCAATAACGCGTTAGCACGCTTGTAAATGACTCGGTACGTACATGCCTTCATGTTTTATTTTTAGGTCTTTGCAGAATTTTATGCGGCATGCTACCATTGCGTCACCATTACTCTGCCAATATATATCTGTGACACATTTGCGGAAAACACTTATTGGTGAGTTTATGCAAATAGGTTCATTATACCAATCTAATATTTAAGTTAGCTAAGGATCAACATTAATTGGCACTTGCACAGATTCCATATGCAATACCTATAGCACAGGTACTGCATAAGCGACTTATGTTATTGTTGAGTATTGCAAATTTTTAAATGTTTTATAAAACATAATTCAAATCATCACGCTCTAGTTTCTAAAAAAGAAAACAGGTCACCTAGGTCCAGAGTTACCCTATCTATTTGTATCAAGTAAAAAAAATAATCGCCGATTCTACGATCACCAGATACTTCACGTAGAGTATCTACGATATTCATAGAAAATATCAGAGTTAAAGTTCGTAAAGCATCTTATGTCTCATGCGCTAATAAACACAGTATTCACAAGTTCTTGGGGAGAGCATGATTTCTTAAATTATGTTTCTCTGATGAAATGACAAAGAGTCTGGCTGAAAAACATCAGGAGTGACACAACTGCGATATCATCCCAGTCGCATTGAGTTTACTCCACCCGGACGGCTGTCATAGTTTCGATGCAAATCAGTAGACTTTAGGTAGTTCTGGGTCTTACCACTCCGAATTATGAATACACGTATCTCTTCGTGTACCGCACTGGTAGACGTACGGCGCCACCAGGTAGGTTCTAAAAATTATAATAATAATAATAATAATAACTGTCTCAGGCATGCTTATGTTAATCCAGCTCCAGCCCTCGAAAACTAATTATAGTACTCTAAAATATTAACTGCATTTGGATTATATTATCCAGCTTAAACGGTATCACTTATATCTGTGAAGCTGGCCTACTCCTTCATGGCAAGGACACATCTGGCTTTACTAGCGAAGCTTTCTAAACTGATCATTATGGAAAATGCTGGAGTAGCAAATTGACATGCTAGCGTTAAAAACACAGCCAAACCAGTTTTATTGGCTTTTCCAGGCTCGAGCCTGTTATCAGTTAAGACCATCTGGTCCTTGCAGATTTACCCACTAGAAAAATGTGTTAATCCCGGCTTTCTCATGTTTATTTTTATGATGTTTTTCAGGTGTTTCGTTTTTGATCAAATCTCGCTTTGAATAATATAGCCAGTATGTCAAGATCCACACAGTTCCTTGGTATAGAAGAAGACACTGTCTTTAGCTGTATTGGACGATGGGAAACCTTGAACTGCTAGTTCTGCTGTCGCTGGCAAAGATGTACAATACAGTTTAACATCTCCAATTCATCATACAAATAACATCTGTAGTGGAGGTTACAAAAGCTTTCTTTTTCGCCTAAAATACTAATAATGCATTCATTCAGTTGTTCCGTTTTTGTGTTCAAGACTTGAACGAGTTTTGAACACGAAAACTTTCAGGCGCTTTCTAAGAATTATTTTGCAAGAACAAATTGAACACAACCTATTTCTTCATACAACAAAAGCCCTAATTGCGCATATTCAGTGTTGGTAAGCTAGAAAAATTAACCTCTATAATAATTTCTTTGATCTTATTTTAGAGACTGCGGAGCACGCGACTGAGAGACGGAGAGAGAGAGAGAGAGAGAAAGAGAGATTCATCCCCGGTTCTTTTGTTTTATCCTTTGAGTCGCCTGCCTTTTATTCCAACCAGCTTGAAATTAAGCAAACGGCATTTCTGGGTTGTAACATGGCCGTGAGTTTGCTGTTTCACTATGTGTAAGCAATTCATAGTAAGCATCCTATTTTAATAGACCGGATTGTCTGATATGAAGACGCATAGTTCTTCTTTGTTATTAAAGATTATAAGATCATCGAAAAGAACACATATTTTATACTAATAACAAAAGTGTAGGAGCGTTTTCTGGCCGTCAACAAATTAACAATGGCACATTCACTACGAAATGTGTGTTTTTTTTTCCTTTCTAGTACAATACAAACTACATGATGCGGAATCGGTCAAGGAAACGGACTTGCCGTTCTTCATCCTCACTATTCAATGCACCATACTGCTATTTACGTCTATTACGGCAACATCTATTCATGAACCAACCAAAATAATTAACCCGAATAAAGTCTAAAAAAAACTGTGTTAGGAGTCAAAGCTGTGCAATAATAATAATAATAATAATACTGGCAAAAATTGTTGTATTTTACCAATTTAGTAGTTGTAATTTTAAACACATTCTGAGTTGACGAAGCAATATTTAAGCGTGCACAATTTTGGATTGCCAGCGCTCTTTATTTATGACATAATACCACATATAGCAATTGACATGTTTTAGTACATAGCTTCGAAAAAAAAATGTTAACGGAAGCTTAAAAGGTAAGTTTCCACATGTACATAATGCGAAACACATGTAGAAAGATATGTTGCGATCCATAGGAATCTCTTTCTTCAACCTTAAACCTACGGTGTTTCGTATAATAGGCCCGCTTACTAGTATTTCGTCATTGAAAATACGATAATTAAATAAAATTCGCACCACTATAGGAAATCAGAGCACTGCTAAAGGTAGTTTAGCCTAACTCTTCGTATCGAAGAATTTCGTCGAACGTCTGGGTTTGAAGTAAAGCCCTACCTCGAAGCTAGCGGCTGGCACTTCGCCGTTTTGGCACTTGGTTCTCTTTATATATTTATCATGATTCAGTCATTCACAACAGCAGAGACATACATGGTGTGAAATTAACAGGTCAACGTTTGGAATGCCCCAATGTGAGAATGATCAATCAATGAAGGCTAGGCTGTGATATTTTACCAGTGTATCTGATGACGTTTCGAATTATCGCAGACATTAAAGATCATAGTGTGAATCACAAAAAAGCCTGAGTATATACCTGAGTATAATAGATGAGATTTTTCATTGAAGATGATTGCGGGTAGTGCTCCAGATAAATTGGTATTCGTGTCTGTAAAATCAGAGCGAAATCATACAAAGTTCATTATGTTAAACATACATTCTCGCAGGTTTTCATGATTCATTCACCTTAGTTAAGCTACTAAAAAAACTACGTGGTACTATACACAAAGCTATATACAAAGGCTTCTAGTTTTTAGTAATTTCATTTTAACGGATTCTATGTAATTTTTATTGGATGTAATGTAATAAATTAATTAACAACTTAACTTACTTAATTTAGGTAACGGGCACATATTCCCACTAGCATGAACATAATCATGTTTTCTTTAGTGTTTGTTATTGACTTATTTATAAAATTTTAACGTTCACCGGTAAAATGCTGCATCGGCGTTTGACGGCTACAATGAAAAAAGCCGCTAGTTCTTTAAGGATTTGTTATTAGCCTTACGATATTCTGAAAATGCACATAGAATGATCAATTAACAGTATTACATCATGTAGACGAACTTAAACTTCTTAAAACTAGCGGGGGTTTAAGTAATGAAAATCTATTACGCTTTAGCATAGCACATAGCATAGTGAGAAATCCGAAATTGACTAATCAAACGTCAAGCGCAGTATATTCCACGAGCATCAACATTTTTTCATTTTGCAAATCTTGGCTAGAGGCTAGCTATTTAAATGTAAGTCTAGGTACGGTAAAATCATTTGTACTTGGAAAAGGTTTGAACTTTTAATAAGCCTAACTTTTAATAGGCTAAGCCTGTGCTATAATAGGGTTGTGACTACAGCAGCAAACAACTGCCGTGGTAATGATGGCCCCACTTCCGCTTTATATGCGAGGGAGTCCGTCAAAAAGATGGGCTCTGCTCGCTTTATATTCAGGCTCGCTTAGCTGCCAGCACAGAAGGAACGTCCCGTTACTGCAAAATGCTCTAAAATATGTATCTCGAAACGTTGCGAATTCAGTAGAATTACCATGTCAGTAAGTTATAGCTGAAAGTAGCGTGCTTGAAGTACAAAATGTAACTAAGATAGCCACTTCATATTTGAGACCTTGCGGTAACGATTCCGTATTATGTAAACTTGGTGTCCCGGTTATATGTACTAGCCACATGCTATTGAATTCTATATCGCGGAGCTGTTTGGTGTAAAAATAAATGTTTTAAAGCTTTGTTGGCTTTTTCAATACTCTAGGTAATATTTTATCCGCTTTTTGCTCGACCGTCGCTCTGTATAGGAATTCTTAAATATCTTGTTATAGAGAGAACCGTTCTCAAAAGTTAAGGGAGTTAGAAAGCGGGTCTCCGATTATTCTAACTAAAAGAGCCGATAATTCTATTGCAAAATGAATATACGAGCTATTAGGGTATGGAAGAAAACGACAGATTAAAATAGCAACAACTTCAGTAATTGAGGCCTTTACTATATCTAAAAATAAAGGTTGAGTATCGATCAAAAAAGTTAAAAATATATTCCTACGCCCAATACTATCTGTAACAAATCCTCATTTGTTAATAAATACTGTATATCGAGTATTAATTGAATAATAACTAACTCAGATATATAATTACACGCACGCAAACTTAATTTCAGTGCTACTCCCAAACGCGAATATGGGTGTAGTTATTATAATCAGTGGCGTCACCTCCCACCAGAGTGTTGCCTAGGGATAAATAAGTCTTTTTATTGCGGGGTAAAGATAATGAGGCTGTACATATGTTGAGGCACCGTCCGATGAACGATGCTACGTACTTCCTAGTGGCCCGGGACGTCGTATCGGATGAATTCAGTTAAAGCGGCTGCAGGCAGACAAATCAGGTCAAACGACACGATAGTGATAACTTTAAATATTGTTTCATACGGATGGCTTCCAGCACAAAACACGTCTATGCCTGGTTTCGAATCTGAACCACATGGCGTTAAGTAAAAACAGGTTACCATTGACCACCACGAGGACATTAATCTATAATCTAGTTTGGTTGTTGTTACACTCTATATAGAAAAAGAGGAAGTTCGTCTAAGAAAAAAGTTAAAAAAGGGCTTCAAGGTAAAATAAGGCTTAATGAAAATTTCTTGTCTTAAGGTGAACTTTAACTTAGATCCACTCTATCCTTGAATTCGAAATGAGGCGGGAAAAAAAATGAAATTTAGTTGTTAAATGGCATTTGGTATTAATAAACGATACTTCATGGTCCGCATTAAGTGGCAAAAAATCATCTCTTTTAACTTCCTATCGTCGATGAGTTAAATTGTTGAAACTTCTTTCCGGACGCTGCGCTTGGCTGCGAACGGATCTAAGCTGATCCGCGTCTAACAAACGCCCTTCCTTTCAACCTTTACCTTCAAGTAAATAAAAATTCTTGGTGAAAGCTTAAATTACCGCTTGGGGAAGCGAAAGCGCTGACAGGCTTTTATTTGGTAGTGGAAGTCCGAGTAACAAGGAACGCAATAAATGTAGTGACCTTTTTTTACGCGATCCTCCCAGATTGCATACATTGAACTTCTAAATCTGATAGATTGTTGAAATAATGCTACACAATGCTACCGACGCCTGGCCTAGATGGAACATGCTCAGAGTTGACTTTTTTTTTTTGAACTTTTTTCAAAGTTCCGAAAAGTATAACTATAAGCTCTCTAACTGCTAAATTGTTTCGAGCCAGTCTAACAGCTGTCTCTTGTCCTACCATTACTCGCAATGGATCGACTTGCTACACGTATTACCGTTTGCGTGAAGTCCACCGACCGACCCATCCTTGCACTTAGTATGGCAAATTTACCATATAAAAAGTGGCAATACTTGTACTAATAACAACAATCATTGACATTATACTATGTTTATACCAAGTTGGCGTCACTCGCATTTTACTGTCTCCATCCGTTTGTTTCGGATTAAAAGCTTCTTCAAAAAGTACATATATCATTATTTGCGGCGTCTACATCTGACGGCAGGGACTGCTAAAATGAAATTATTCGTTATGAATACAATGGTTACTCCGCTTACGCACCACATCAGGTTTTTTTTTTTATTTTATTATTAAAACATCTCTATTTTAAACAAATTCTACACAAATGTCTATCATGTTTCTGCATCTTATAAGTGGTTTTCCATATCTGCGTGTTACAGGCCAGCAGAGGTTTTTAATTATCACATTTAATACTGAGAAAGTTGTCGTTGAACAATATTGGAGCACTTGTTTTTGTTGAACGGGCTACTTCCCCGAGCTTTCTAATGTGGTTTTACAATGCAGCAGCGAGGCTTTTATATGTTCATTTTGGAGCGTGAATAGTTAAATCCAAAAAAAGAGAAAAAAAAACATTAAGACGTAAAGTTTTTGGTTAGCATTCTGCAGCCATGCTTCATTCGCTCACGTTTGTTGATCCTTTACATCCGATTTCATTATCACACAGTTTAAGCAATACAAGAATCTTCGTGATTATCCACGTAGAAGCCAAAATTGGTCTAAAATTAGTGTAATAAGGGTAATAGTAATGATGACCTATCGTAGCTGGCGGTCACGTGTATGACAAAAAAAAAAAGGGCGGATGAACATCCGGATATTTCCTGTAGGGAACAATATGCAAACCAACACAGCCTTGTGTTACTGTAAATAAACTAGGCCCTTTACCGCATAAACATTACGTGAGATATTTCCGCATGTTTGTAATAGATAGATCATTTAATATATGAGAATAATATCGTAAGTACGTGGCGAGTTAATGCTCTGCTTTAGGCACTATTTTTAGATTTGCTTCGAGGACAATAAAGTTAGAGGGAAGTATACAATGTTTCATCGCTAATATCAACTGTAAATTTAGCTTTGGATAACTATAATCAAAAAAATCGCCTTAAAAAGCATAGAAATCTGAAAGAAAATTTTGTCTAGCTATTTTACGCTTACACCGAAATAGACATATATTCAACACTTATGTCTCAACAGTAGTCGCCAATCTTTGTAAGAACAAAAAAGCTCCGAATGAATGAAACATTTTTTCCAGTGAGACCATAGGCCTCAGACTTACATTTCATCGCTAAAAGAATATATTTTATTAAGGAAGATGATATCGAAACTATAAGATACTCTTTTCGTTAAGCAAGTGAAGATATGCCCTTTAATGTCCGTTCCAGATCAGTCGATTAAAAGTGACTAAAATGTAGTCAGCTAAAAATTACATCCAGTCGAATTTTAGTATTTATGCAAAATCAAAGCACAATCTTAATTTCGTGCGGATACTTTTGGGTGTTTTGCTATTAGACGATTCTGTTTACAAGCCCAAGCATATATTGGCGCTTCATTTGTTTATTAGCAAGGATTTTTTGTTTTTGAGCTCTACGACTTCTTCATGAATCCCCTTGAACAGACCCCAACTGACAAATGGTCCAAAAATGTATACATACTTCGAATGATTATAACTTTAGTGTTTATTTCCAAATACTGAAATTTATACAAAACGTATAACTTTTCCTTAAGTTACCGCAGACGCTTTGCAAACTACTACTATTCTGGCCAACCAACTGCTGACGACGATCGGTTATTTAGTCATAAAATTAAACAAATATGTAATTTAGTGTTGTGCCACATACTTGGTCAATTGCGGCTCTTGCATCTTCCAATGTAATCGATTTCTGAGGGTAAATTCAATGTTTTAAATGTTTATCTTTCAGGTATTTTCACACGAAATTATGGGCGGTCTAAGGAACAGGCAGGACCTGCCCCATGTGAGAGCTTTTGTTTAACTTATACCTTTGAAGGTCTTCGTCAGGATATATTCTTTCTAAACGCTGATTAGTTTTCACGAATATCCCTTGTCGTAGCATAGATCCTTGCAGGAAATTTAAGTAATTAGCATTTGTGTGTATCTTATTTTGGCACTCCCCGTATGTAGCACGTGTCAGACTTGTCTGTGGGTCCGAATAATCTCGAAAAGATCTTGGACCAAGCAAACATGATCTGACAAGACCATCTTCCCCTAAAAACCTGATGATCGGAAAAGCTAATTTTTATGTTTAAAAATACGAAGCATATCGTATCACATATACGTGCGATAACCGACAATACTGTTTTGTTAGACACAGAGGTTCAATGGTGGGTATTAATATAGTCCCGATTCATGTTGTAAACCCGCATTCAGTGGCGAGCCCCCACGTTTAAAAGGCTTCAGAAGCGTATCACCTCTTCCTTTTGGAGGAGAATCAGCTAGCGAAGATTACCATTGTATCTTCCATAAAGTGTTTGCTACCTAGGGGTTACCCAAGGTGTATATTAATGCAAGTACCCAGCGAAATATCGACAAAACCCAAAACACTCGTTAACCTAGTACATAGGATCACAGCTTAGCAAGTATTGGTACGCCAAATAGACATACTGTAACGAAAACGGATAGGCTTTTTTTGTTTTATAAAAAATGTGCTTTTCCATATTTTTTTCTTCGTATATTAAATGTTCCTTCCATTCATATTTACGTTTTCCAAAAGTATACTCACAAACACGTCACTGCAGAAGTGGGAGCTGGAACATGTTTTCATAGTTTTTTTTAATATAAAATTGTTTGGATAAGGCTTTTTATCCTGGGCCCACGAGTTGGCCTGGGCACAAGAGTTGAAGTCGTGGGGGGCGCGCGCGTTTGATTTAATAGCCACGGGACTTCCATATATATTCCCTCATCATTGCTGGCATGTTGGACATGATCCTTTTTTTATCAGCATTATCTTTCCCTTTCTTTTTATGCTTTTAATGATCTTGCAGCGCCTTCCTTGCTGTGCGGTGCCATTATTTTGTAACAAACATTTAAGTAAAAATCTCCTGTACGTACATTTGGATACTACATAATCGGTATAAAGCTGTTTTCCGCTGACGAAACTGATAGAGATCTTTACATATCATTTATAATAATTTACGCTAAGTGTCTATTGAGCACACTTGATTATACAATTTCTTTTGTTCATTTAGTACAATTTTCGATAGTTCTCTGCCTCTTTCGTAGCTTGCATGTCATTAATGTGTAGAAGTTCTCCAAGAATCACAGCTTAGGATAGTTCTTACTTCTATGCAGTATGATTAAATATAATTGTTTCTAACCCCAATTCATTTGTTTAAATGCCATCTCTTAAGTTGGGCGAGGCCTTCGACTTGGCCCAACGCTCATTTATAATTTCTGTGTATCTTTTTGCAAAAGCTATACTCACAATATTAGAGTGATTATCATCTCCATATATCACAGTAGTGAGAAGATGTCTGCAGGCAGGCCAGTTGCTCCTACAGAGTTGATTAATTGTAGACCATCCAAATTCCTCAGTAAATTGACGCATCGTTTTCTAAAAGTAAGTTAGGCATGCTTGTTAGCAAACTACTTATATTTGCCATTGAGAGTACCTGTAACAGTTAAGTCATTTTATAAGGATTGTTTCTTATTTATTTATTTTTTAGCTTTTGAAAAAGTTTTTTTTGTTTGGAACATTTTGATTGAACAACAAGCCGGTAGCGGCCTAATGATCCTAAATCAGTTTATAAGAGATTAAGATTAAATCTTTAATAATTTAATAAGTGAGATACACATGGGACACATGGGGAATTGTCGTAACCAGGGGCGGTTTTTTTCTCTCGTCTCATTACGTGGCACAAGGCCGATGCCTTAAAAAACTGCCAAAAAATTATAGGAACTCCTTGCAAGTCCCTTTTTTTTTTTATATAGAGACTAAGTTATCTAATATACTTTCACAGATACCTCGTACTCTTGTGTAAAAACATTACACTGCATACAAAATACCGAAACGAAGAATATGACTATCATGACCGCTTTTTGCAAATCTAGTCTGTCCCTAGAATACTAAATAATCTCTGTACAGGACAATGTCGATAAGCTTACGGCGTTTTTTGGTCGCTTGAGGTACATTGAAGGGAAGAACCAAAAAAACTAGTGTATTCAGACTGTCCTTCTGGATCGCTCCAACCGTTTTAGGTAGTGGTTTTTGCTGAAACATCTTATCATCGAAGACTATAGATACCTCTTGCAGTGCGAAGACGAGTAATTTCAGGGTAGCAGGTTAACATCCTGTCAAGCACAACTTCTGTAATTCTGCGGTTTGGCATTAATTGCTAGTCTGAAATCTAAAAAAGAGTATACAGTCGCGTCTCGGGACATGTCCTTTTTTTCGTGTTGTGGGGTTAATCAGCCACTTTGTCTTTCTTTTTCTCTCTTTTTTGAGTGAGGTTATCTGTGATCGCCCTTAAAGTCGATAAACGTGCGTTTATCCCGCTTAATGGTTTCTGACTATAGTTTCATGCCATAGCACAGGCGGACGTTTGAGTAGTCATCATAGTGCTACTGAGGCACCCCAACAAACTCCGCGGATCGATTGACTTTTTCGTCAAGCTGCTATTAGCTGGCGCTGCATACACGCGAATTTCTCGCTGGGAGGCGTTAACGAAGCGGACCAGTGAGTCGATGAATTACTGCAGTGTTTTCCGCCATCTTTCCCCTTTACGTTGGTATCTAGCTCGACCTTCTGTACAAAACAGAATATTGGCTATGAAATTTTGAACTCATCATAGTAACACCGTACTGGATGACTTGTAGAAGTGGTTTATTGCCATTTCTAATTGCGCAAGGAACGCGCAATCAACATTCAATTAGGTTGACATGTTTCAAGTAGTATTCACTTTAAAACAAGATTGGAACCTTGAGGCTGAGAGTTAGTCTCTAGTAGCTCGTAACGCACTGTCTCACAGAAAAGTTTTCGGAAATTTTGACCTAATCACTGATAAGTGCCCCCATTACGCACCCCAGATGGACAAAATATTGGCAGAATTCTAACATAGCAAAAGAGCGAAAGGCCTATTCGCAGGTTTTGAGGGCTATTAAAAGAGAAGTGATAAGCAAGTCTTTGAAGCCATTATAGAAGGACGACTGTGAAGGTTGGCGGGAGACTTTAATTTACCCTTTGCCGTGCAGCATGGATTCAGAAGACACCGATCGGTGCACTCTGTCGACCATCAAAAAGCCTAGAGAGCACAAGTTGCTTACAGAATCATGTGAAATATCAAAGATGCCTGAAATATTCTTGGCGGACTTTCCAAATGTCCGAAACGCTTTCAATTTCAAGAAGTTATTTCGGTACCATATTAGGGAAAGGAGCGTCTACATATCTCATTCGAGTAATCCTGTCCTAGTAATCTCCAATTACCTATTAAGAAGAAAGATTATTGTAAGCGAGAAAACTGTCTTAAACATGAAAGCGCATGTCATGCACAATTATTTCCCGGGCCGTTTCGTCGGAACAGAACTTTTGATAACATCGTCTGCCTCCAAGGGCTCCCTAAAGGGAGAGAGGCAGTGGTGTATGCAGATGAATTAGCCATTATTGTATTAAGACCTCGTTGGAAACGGAACTGTATGCCAATAAGTACTATTTCAAATTGGATGCGAATTCAGGCTTGGAAGGCTCCCAAAAAGAATGAAGTGATCCTGTACGTTGCAAAGAAGAAAGTACGGCCGATAAATCTTTGTCTAGTAAATTAAGATCGTAGACGGAGCAAAACACTTGGATGTGCGACTGGACGAATCACTCTGCAGTAGGCGACACGAAAAGAAAAACATAGCAGAGGCAAACAAAGCAGTAAATTAGATAGCCAAATTTTTTCCGAACATTTACGGACCAAAAGGAGAAGGCTACCGCAGGCTATTCATGTCCATTACATAACTGATAGCCTTCCTTGGAGTCTCGGCGTATATGAAAGAGACAATAGATATGGTACCTTCTACTCCTTTATAAGACACAGAATGGCTATGTTAGCATCAACTGGGCAAGTACACCGTACAGTTAATACGTCCGCATTGATGATCCTACTTGAAGGCCCACCGTGGGATTGCAAGGTTAAAGGGAAAAGGGCGAAAAAAAAAAGATAGATTATCACTTGTCACAACTATGCCGCTCCTTCGAAAGTAACCTAGTCACCTCAAGAAAGTTCTGCGATGAACAGTTTTCGGACGGTAATGGCGTCATTATTCAGTTGGTGTGAAGTCCGTAGACTACGGGAATTGCTGAATTTAAATATCCAGCCCGCCATACTGAGCAATTATTCGGAAGTGCTATTCAAATCTTGAAGTCTAGTTAGAGTATGTCGTAACGGGTTAGTCCCTCTTCAACCATCGATAAGGATAGAGCTTCTGAAGTAGGCAAAACGTCCTATTTTATGCGGAACTCAACTGTCTATTACAAGCAAGTTGGCTTAATATACTGAGATAACATACGTTTTCACAAGTACTTTCAAATGTAAGCTCGAATACAATATCCTACTAGTCGAAAATCAGATATTACTTGTGAAATGATTTCTTCCTACGGACGATTGCGCATCAGGGCATTTTTTTTAAATGTTGCAAATAATAAGTACACCGAGCACTTAGTAATCAAATGAACAAACTTTACGTGGATCATTAATTTCTTGAGTTAAGGATCAGTCATATTACTAACAAGATGTTCGATTTATTTGTAGCCCAGATGCTTTTCGCTGCCCTATTGATACTAATTTTCATTACTATAAAATGACCGAAATCTTTTTTTGTTCTAGGATGGTACGTGCTAACGGGGTGTGTGGGTAATATGTATACATTATACCGGTAATCCGGTGGACGATATATATATATATATATCCTATCGCCCGCCGTATAAGGTTGACGAAAACGTGTTGGCTGCTTTTAAATCACAATTAAAGCAAATATTTTTTTGCATTTTGGAATGTTGCTACTAAAATAGATATGCACCGTCTTTATTAATGGCCCGCCACTGTGAAATTTGAGGGCCCGATCTCTGAAGAAGTCCTCTGAAAATCCGGGCTATACCACGAATGAATTAATATTTTCCATCTAAATCCTCTCAATTTTTGCTGAGCAGCTAAAACGTATGTGGTTTGGCATTATCATTGTAAAGGATGACGTTTACTAGTTTCGGACCACGTTTTTTTCAGTGACTTATCCCTCTAGTTGTTAACAGAGGAGGCTTAAAGCAATTGTTTTAACAAGCGGCAGCAACTCATAACGCACAATTTCTTTCCAATTTTGCCAAACACATAGCATTACCTTCCTTGACGCCAGCCCCAATCTTGTCACAGACCACACATTCTGGTCGTATGTGATTTGTTCCCGCGCGATCAACCACTTTAGAAGTAGCTCGATTTCATCGCGTTAATAGAAATACAAGCGAAAAATTCGCTTGCGCCACTTTGTGGGCCCCTAAACATTGAAGCTTTTTTTTGTAGCTAATGTTTTTTGAATAGTTTAATGTTGGTTGGTGGAGGATGTTTAGTTCCTTGGTCATATCATGGCCTCCCAGCTCTTCACAATAATTTTATTAATTTTATTCGTAATTGGTTGGCTACTATCCTTTCACCTTGAAATTTCTGGATTTTTTCGGTGTTGCGCCTTTACAAATGGGCACAATAAAATTGTAAACGATAGTTAATTTTCACAACCTAGCTATTAACGTCGATACGGCGCAACATAACTTACCTGAGATATGTGACTTCAAAGCCAAAAGCGTTCAACTCGATACATATACATATATATATATATATAATTTGATCATGAGTGCTTCAAGCAATCAGTATGAAAACTGTGAAGCATGTATGTCACAATACACATTACGTAATAGATAAACCGGTGTAGAGGAGATTGTGCACTGAATCCTGAAGGAGCTACTTGTATATGGTCAGAGAGTTTTACCTGTTATAGAGTAGAGTGTAACGTTTTTAGCATACGAAGTTCCACAAAAAAAATGTTCATTCGGCTAAAATAGATATCCGTCTAATTAGAGCTAAAAAGAGATCTCATGATTTGCCTGAAACAACAAAATTTGCAGCCCGGGACAAGTAACGAAACATTAACAAATTTAGTTATTATGACTAAGTCTTGCTTATTATACCTCGAAATACCATTTTATTTAGTGCATTTCATATATATAGTTTCGTTAACTTCAAAGAAACTAATTATTCGTGTTAAGGTTCAGAGCCTTTTTATATTAGGTATATCCTGCAGTTAAAAAGTGTGTAACCCGCTTAGTCGAATACACAGCCTACCTGATAACTGACTGGATGACAATAAAGCGTACTGCTAATTAGCTCTCGAGACCGTCTTCGCGTTCTCATCTAAATCACACAAAATACAATTCCGCGATATGGACTATTCCTATTATGGACCCACATTATAATACTAAGGACCGCGTGCCTACGATGGTGTTTCAACGCATGCTAGTTTTACCGAAAGCTTCCTAGGATCTCTATCCGGAACTCAATGTATTCATCCGCTCCGTTTTACGGAGTGGCTGGAATAACTCTGTTCACGTCGTCTGAACCCTCTTCACCCTAACCTACGTCGTAAGGACTTGCAAGTTAGATATTACACCATCTATTAAGCAACATGTGACAGGAATTATCTCTTAGGCCTAACCTGCATGATGTCCAAAGGGACAACCTTAGCCTCGGCACAAGAGTCAAAAAGCAAAAAATTGGTTAAAGAAATATATCTGCCAAATGACAACGCAAACTCTCGATGCTGAGATATAATTGGTCTTTTTAAGGATATATAAATCCTGTATTGTGATGTGGCTTTTTTCGAATCAACTATTTTAGCTACTACTTGTTTTTTTTTTTGCTCCAGATAATAGTCGCATTGACAAAAAACTATCGGTATATACAAAGTGGATTTACTAACAAGGCTTGGGATTATTGAGGCTCTGATAGAAATTATTTTCTATGCGACTTTTATCCCCTTCAAAGTATATTTGCCTCAAATATTCCATTTGGTTTGTTCTGTTATCGAAAGCAAGTTTACCACCTTGTTCCATAATTTCCAATAAAGGATAATTTTAATAAACTTACAACAAATGCTTTTACAGATCGCCAGAGTGATTTGAGAAAGGGATCATCAAAATTGCAGCCGAATGTACGAAAGCCTCCTAAAGAAGCGAGGGCTGAGATCTTTGAGTTATAAGCAGGCCGTTTTGATAGCAGTGCGAAACCGGAAGCAGCGCCCTAAATGGTATTTATAAGACATTAAACTTCTGTTCTATGAGTAGTAGCAGCGTCATCTAATATAAAGAAGAGTCCAGTGTATTTTAAATAATCTATTATTTTTTTTTTACTTTAGACGTGAATATTTTTAGACCATTAAATTTCGACTAAAAAAAAACGCATTTATCCTCACGTTTGCGTTCTACTTTTAGAATAAACTCACTTCTTGCATAGAAGAGAGCATAATAGAGTTGCATAGAAATCCTCTGTGTTAGGCTTCTAATCTGTTAAACTTCCTTGAGCAAAAAAAAATAATAAGTCAACCATCGAAGGCTAGCCGATAAATAAAACGATACTTCATTTTGACGAAAACTAATAGTGAGGGCTCGTCGCTGGAGTTACTAGCTCTAATTCGCTATGAGAGACACTTGAACTGAAAGTTAGGAATTCAAAAAATGTTTACTTTTTTTTAAAAATACTATCCTATGTCATTTTAGGCAAGTATAGCGAGTATCTCTTTGCAGTTAAAGCTCACCTGTGAATGACCAAAATAGGACACGTTCTTAGCGCCCGTTACTTGAAGTATGTAATCTATCTGTGCAGCCACATCAAATATACCATGTTCCACCAATGTATAGTTATAAAACTCCTTATCTTTCACCGATTGTACTCGTCCTCTATTAAGAGTCTCCATTCCAAATGCATTCCCCCTGGTATTGCCCAGCCAGACGTCGAAACCCTGATCGGCAAATATATAACCTAGAAATGATCATATAAAAAGGCAGTCGCATAATGTACTTGTTACACATAGTACCTTTTTCAACTGAAGGGACTAACGACTATCACATCAAGCCAAACAATTATGAGTGCCTTTAAATAGCTGTCCGTCTACATAGAGATTTTTTTCTACCGAAAGAAATTGGTCATAATTACGTTTTTAGGTTGTTTTTAACTCAATCTGCCTGGAAGTCAATTTTTGCTGCTGAGTAGTATACTTAAAACACAGGGGTGAGTTACGTGTCAGCCTGTATAGCTTTTATACTATATATTCTATTTCTAAGCTATGACTCCAGTCACTTTTTTCATCATTGTAATAGTATTGATTTCACTCGCGAATCCGATTCCAGAAAAGGTACCTAATGGTTTTGGCTCAAGCGTTACCTTTACGTCGCTTCGTGAGATAATTGCGATAATTATAATTGCTAATATTATCTATATAAACAGTAATGGTAACTGACCAAATACGACGGTTGCTTATAGAAACAGAGTTTTCATTATCTCTAATAGAATATTAGGTAGCCGGATATGGGGATCTGACCATTATTTCTTTTAATACAAACCCTTTGCAGGCAGAATTGGCAATTTTTGCCGTTTCAGGCAAGCTTCTCCAAGGACTAAAATTGTCATGCATGTTGGAAAAGAGAAGACTTTTTAGAAGCATAATAATTTTTGCTGCAACAAAAGGTGTGTTAAAGACCGATTTGTTTGTTGCAAAATGCGTTCTTTTTGAGAGTAGACTGCTACATCTTTTCATAAAGAAACTGTCTTTTTTTTCGATGTCAGAACAGTCTTGCAGCTTCATGGACACGGCCCGAAATGAAACACTCTCATTTTGGGAGAAAATATTCGTTACGGTTCCAACTCTGAACAAACTCAGGCCCAATTCGTTGCCCAACCCAGGTTAATTTACCTGCCTCATCAACACGAACATATTCACGAGTCAATTCAACTGAATATTCCAGCAATACTCTTTACCAAACGTTGGATTTTTCAAGATGCTCTTTTTTTTGGAAAATATCGGTTAAAACGTTTTCGTTAAGATAAACTGGTCGAAAAAGCAAATTTGTCTTTTTCTGGTCTTTACTACAAGGTAAGCCTTTACGGCATCAAAAGAAAATCTCTTTATACGAGGCTATGGATGTTCATTTTTTAGTTGACTTAGATAATGATGTCTGTGAAGTAAAAACAATCACTACATGTTTAACTTTCTATTCTACCGTATTACGATAGTAAAAATTGCGTCACAATTACTTCTACCAAACACAAAAGAGGAACTAAGTCGATCGGGCACTTACACACTTCGCAACAAATCAAATATTGCTTTACGACGGAAAATTATAGTACGCATTTGCATGGATGAAACACTTCCCATAAAAACATGGCTGCTGTTCCAGTTTTCACAACTCTGTTTTAACAGCACTTTCAGCCGCCGGAAATGTCTACAAATACTTTGGGTGCAGCTAATACTTTTAGGAAATGTACCCGACGGTGAAATCGACGTTGCGGAAGGTCTACTACAAGCTTTCGTTCGTCGAAGCTTTGGAGCGAACGAGTGAAGCTTTACACTTAACCTATTAAGCTGATCGCTTAAAGCATCGATGTAAGATTCTTGCTGCAAAATCACGCCTTATGGAAGTAAGCGTTTTATACAATTTTTTTTTTTGCGTTAAAAAAACTATTGGTGACACAGCTTGTTACATAGAATATTTTTTCAAAGTTCAGATAGAATGTAATATTAGACATTGCGTAGCACTGAAGTTAAAAACAGCCATTCAATCCAGAGCCGAATCGAGAACCCCCGGAAACCAGATGTCTAGAGGACTTGGACGACACTTCGGAGGTATGAAATCAATAAGTCGCCGTCTCGAATTCTGTAAGGTATACGCCAATCTATACCGTCATGTAGCTTTCAATTTATGGAAGAAACAATCATTTTTTTTTAGTTAAATGTCACAACCCAGATAGACATATTATATATTATAGTGACACATGCAGCAACTGCATTAAAATCCTAAAAACAAGTGTTTCAGCTGCCCTATGCGGTGTAGCAAGTACTACCTAAATGCTCGAGAGACAGAACAAAAGGGTTCAATGTTGCATATCGGTTTTCTATTGATAGCTGGTAGATATAGCCTGGAAATAAGTAGTTTGACTTCCTGCACGGCACAACAACGAAATTCAGAGTAACCTATGTTAATTTTCATAGTCGTCTAATATATTAAAATCTGGTAAGTATATTGTTGTCTTTAAATTGGTGTCAACTAATTAATTTTTCAATAAGTTGGACAATACTCGTCTGAAAATACGTAATTAACTACTTGGCAGATTGGGCACGTTGAAATTTCATACAACTCACTCAGCAAATTACGTCTCTTAGGCTGGTAAGCAATCATCGGAGTTTCATATAATTGTATCGCCGCTTGGTGTTTCGAAGAGGTTTTCTGTTTTCAAGAAAGGCTTGTGTTTTTTTGCTTACCGTAGGACGTATTTACTGTTCTATTGTAGTCTTTGTTGTTACCTCGCCGTTTTAAAAGACATCACTAGCCATATGAGGTTGACACATGTTTGGCGCTCAAACTTTAGGATAATGATTGTGTTGTTTATACACTCCACAAAGACGACAGATAGTAGTTGGACAATGTGCTAAGGGTAAGTTAAGGTAAGTTATCGCACTATCTTTGTCAATCATTGAAACAGATAATATAAAAACTATTGTTAACTGATTAAGGCGATCTGATTTTCTCTTCCAAGTATCGCTATGTTTCGAACAAGGTGCTCAAAACAATACATCTAGAACAAACAAAGCCAGAAGAAACCATGGCAGTTATAAAAAAGTATTGTTACCGCGAGCGCTAAATCCGTTCGAAATAATGTCAATACTTCTAGAGAATGACGATAAATAATGGATATAAAGTGTTTCCGAAAAATAAAATACCTTTCTTTATTTACAAAGGTTTATTATAGTATGTGTAGCTGGAGAAATTAGAAGCTGGTTTTTTTTAACCGGAGGCTTAGCCATGTAAGAAAAGTGCTATACTCCTCTTAACATTCTCAGAACCTTTTAAGGACGCCTCTTCCATCTAAAAGGAAAAATTTTGCTCACGCGGTCAAAGTATTTTCGCCTGTCGCCAGCTGATAAATTCGTCAGTTCTTTCATGTGTGTTCTCATACCGAAGACGAACCCAGGACACCACTTATTATATGACATTGAGCGCAAGATTTAACAGAACCCTAAAGACTTAAAAGATTGAACTGATCAGAAATTTAGCATGTTATATACGGCGTACAAGATAAATCCGGAGATACGGGTTCCGGGTCTAGCATTAACATGGTTTTACGGTTCAGACAAGAAACATAATTACTACCCAAAGGAGTGACTACAATAATAAAGATATTCGCACGACACGCAGTCCAGTAGAACATAACTATCAGGTAAGACAAGTATCTACATATCTCTAATGGCCATACACTGCATAGGTTTGGTGCCTTACCTCATCCGGTGCAAAACACAATTAGTATATACCACATGTGAGACTGAATGATTGAACCCAGTAGAAATCATATTTGCATGTGGCCTGAGTTATTTATTGATGAATTCGGACGAATGACTGTCAGTCTCTTACGATGCACAGTTTGACAATACATTGTAGTAACTAGATCTTTCGTGACATGATTTGTTACGCGTTGGTAATCGTATATGCAGACGACAAACCCGAAGTGATTTATTTTTACCATGAGCTCATCAGAAGTATTTTAGAATGCGCATTAATCGGACAAATAAGCTTAAAATAAATTTAAGCGGATAAGCTGCTTAAATAGAATAAAACTTCCACGAACAAGAGAAAATCCTGCTTAGTGAATTTTTTTTTAACAAATTGCCTCTTATATATAAAAAAATGAAGCCTTTAGTCGATATCTCGTTTGAATTCAGATTTTTGAGCACAGAATATGATTTCAGCTATTTCTTTTTATTCGCATTTCCTATATATTACTATTAATTTACTACACCGCTGTATAGGATATATTAGCCACTCACAGTCGAAAGACAAGAGCAGCCTTATAGTTTGACAAGTCACCACTGTATTATATTCATTCCAGTGAGGTCATGAAACATTATCTAACTGAAAGCCTACGGAGGTAGCCAAGAGGCATACGTCTGTAGTTTTACCACAAGAGAAATTGACAGTCAAACATTGCATAGGCTTAAACCAATGGATATGTTTTGTTTTATTGTCGCTCCTAATGATTAAGCTCTGCTTTGTATACCGATCATTGTGCTCGTGACATCTCCTCACAAATCCGGAATCATGTTTCTAATTACTTGGAACGGGCCAGGCGATCCTTAAGTTTTTAAAACAAGCTTCGACTTTGGAATCACGTTTTTTGCCACACGCAAGTTTTAGTATGTGGTCAGCTCTTTTCCTTGATCGGAAGAATGCTGTCCACTGGCAGACAAGAGGAAATATTTCAAGGTGGCGCAGTACGACTCTATTGATCTATCTACAAGGTACCCGCTTGTAATCCCTCGCAGCGCTGGTTAGAAGTCGAGAAGGCTCATTCAATCCCATCCCAAACATTAGTACACTGCGTTATATTTCAAATGCAACCATTGACGTTAGAACTACCAAACTTTTATCGAACTGCAACTATACTTAACCACTTCAGGATATTAAAAAAGCAGTGTCGCAACGCGGGCGAACAAACTGAAAGTGGTAAAGGAACCTCCTATTAATTTGGCAATAGGTATATAAGAGCTCGACACGAGCTTCGTGTAACAACGGTGAGATTTACGGTGAGCGAACTAGCTCAAGACTGCGACATGAATCTATGAGCAAGAATCGGAAATAAAGAAAGGGTGAATGTATTGGTAGAATGCGAATAAAGGGACAAACCTGTACACAGTATGCATTGAAAGGAGAAGCAGCCGAATAGGAACAGTTTAGCAAAGATGCAACAAACAGACGACCTGCTTCTAAAGTATTAATGTCCGTTTCAGTTTTTGTCAAAAAACTTCAAAAGCGGATTAAATTGAACGCCCCATTTCTGCTAGCGTGCCAAAATATTTCTCAGCATCTGGAAAAAAAAATAGTGGGATTTCATCTTCTTCTAGATAATTGAATACAACGGTTCTTCCTACAGATGGTATAACATAACTTGATTTGTATGTTGAAGCAAAAAAAGGAAGAACATGTTTTGTACAATTATAATGTCAAGGAGCTACACGGAGTAGCTGGATCTGTATTAAGGTTGGATAATGTAACCAACTGAAAATTTGCTTCTTCACTGCACTGTCTATCGCACATAAGATCTGGGGTTTCTATTTAAGGAAAGGAACAACTTGCCAATCGGCCCCGCTACTTTTACTCTTCAAACAAAACTCTAGAACTTAAACTACTGAATGCCCTAACGCCCTGCAACTGGGAACTGAGGGTTTCGACGGCCAAATATTGGCTAAGCTTTCTGCTTACCTATTGTATTTCGAATTGATTAATAAAACCGGAACGCTCAGAGGTAACGTTTTGTCGCGGATGTACGGGGTGGCTTCTAATTTATAAGGACTGCGCTTTTTTTAATCCAAGACAAAGCAGGGGTTTAGAGTTCCCATCTTTGAACCCTGGCCTTGGTTTGACGAGCTTGATATCAACATCGGAGCTAGTGTTTCACCCTAATATGGATGCATTTATAATACTTGAGTAATGACGAAAACCTTTCAACTCCAGCTCCTGAAATCGTTCAACTCTCGGATCACGACCCAATGCGAACTAGATATATTATGGCTATTTTTGTTATACTAAAGATTACTGAACAATATATTAAAAGAGCAACAACTGCCTGCCGAGAAAAAAGCAGCTGTTGTTAATAAGTATGGCTGCGTATTTGAGATGTTGGTGTTTTTGGTCTAAATCATGTGCAAAGATATTTGTGTCCAAGTTACTTTAGCCTCACAAATAGTAAGACGTTCAATAAAAAATAAAAAAAAACTGTGCTTTGCTCTAAGCGTGGAAACCTGAACAGAAATTTTAAACGAAACAAGTTTATCTTACCAATCGAGTTATTTGCTAGGTCGTCGACATAAAATGTAGAGGAACAGAACAACGGAGCCGGAAGGAAAACAACTTTCTTGTTTGTCTCCTGGATAAAAGGAGTTTGTCGTCCATGTGGAATTCGATGCGTGATCAGCACGTAGCTAAAGCAACGGATTTAGGCAATAAATGAAAAAATAAATTTAATTCAAGAAAAAGTACGGAAGTACAATATGAAATTTAGTATGAAAACTTTGGTAATAAAAATATTAGAACACTGATAAACGAAATGATAGGTACGATTTTCAGATGAAGCTATGCAACTAGCTTCACATTTAACACCTTTTCATTAATAGATCATTATGTAACTATGCATTCTATGATGTGCACACCTATACAGATAGGTGTATGTTTTTATCCTTATTGGTAAAAATGAAAATGAGTGTAAAACAAAAAACATTATTTTATAAACATTAATGTTACTCAAAATTTACGTAGTAGGGCTATGATTGGAATTATATTCAAATAAAGTAAACAATTTTCCCCGGAATTTAATTTTGTATGTCATAACTCAACTATATATATAGCGCGCAGTAGGATCCTCATACCTACAGTAAAAGCTCAGGTATAGTTCGTGTGAACGAAACCGTAGTGTGTAGGGTGTAAATACTCAATTGTTAAAAACCTAATATCTTTTTATCTTCCACCTACTCTTTTAACTATTAGCATAACAGACGTTTTCAAACCGATACGAACCCATCAGCGGTAACTATCCGATGCTCTTCAAACGGGTACCCTTTATTCTCCACAAGTTGACGCTAAAGCAAGAAAAAAATCTTATTATGATTTTATCACTCACGTATTTCCAGCTTCAGAGGTTGATAAAGCTTCCAATAATTAAAAACATTATTTTTGAATAAACACTATCCAATTCAGAGCATTTTTGAAACGCATTCTCAGATTTGGTGCGATACGGATTGCTGGATTTCCTTTTTTATATATTCCAGCAATGACGAACTCTGCCATCTTCTGGCAACTAGCAATTAAACGTCCATATGAAGGGTATTATACACCAAAAATACATTCATTATAACAATATCAGTTTCACTCAATCATGCTACCCGGCAGGAGTTTTCATCTCGAGCCCAATCCTTCTGGATACCTCTTAGCTTGGTGGTGACACGCCTCCGCCATGGGCTGCGTAATCGACAGGTGTATCGCGAGATTCGCTTCTCGACGCTCCGTCTAGGCTTGCACATAGACAGCAGTTTCAGGATTGCTGGTGAGAACGACGTAGGAGGGCGAGGTCCTTAAGCCAAAATGTCAGGAACGAGAGGGGTGTCGTTTTAAAGGCTCGCCTTCGCCTGGGAAAGTGAATGTGGGTCGCCTTTTAAAGCTTGTACACGGAGAGACCGGACAGCAATTCTGGAAATTCATCGGGTAATATGGCTTTGGCCATTTTCAGGAAGTTGCGCCTAGGACGCCGCTCACTATAACGTGCACCGTGAAGTCGAGTAATGGAAACATTGAGGGAACAGAGAAACTGCGCGCCTCCAGCAACCGCGTAGACAGCCACCTCAAGAGTGTGCGGACTGTTTACTCCATTAACCCGTTTGCTTTCTGACAGGCTATGGTGATCCTCGCGTGACGTGTTGAAGCGCGCTGACTACTGCTCGACGTATAGGGCAGCCGATGTTCATAATTCGGTTGTGATCATTGGCAGACTTCACAGCTGCGAATTCTCGCCCATGCTCCGCGCTCCGAGAAGTAACGGGAGACGAATCGGTAGACGGTCTTCCTTAATCCCAGTTACCTTCGTTTAAAAAAAACACTTCTGATCCGGACGATCGTGGAAATCAGAGAATTCGCAGCCCGGAATGGTAAAACCGGAAAGCAATTCCGCCGTCTTTCCGTCTTTGGGTGGTAGGAAAAGCCCGTCGCCTCACCAGAACGTAGCTATCACCAAAGCTCAGCGCAATTTTACAACCCATGGGGCCGATTTTAAATAAAAATCTATTTTACTTTGCAGGTGCTTCGGAGCACTACTGTCGATAGCCACCGTAAAGCGGCGCTCCTACAGGTACAAATGGGATTTCTTTACCGCATAAACAGCAGCAAATATTCGATCTCTGACGAATGCTACTTAGCCTTTTGGCTCGGGACCCTTTACCACCGTACTTTACCATGCGCTCTTCATTCCTCCTGTACTAAACGATGACCCAATCCGTGACTGCTTGCGTTGGTGTGCACTCTTTCTGAAAGTGCTAAGGAACTGAATCACCTAACTGGGCCTTTTTTCAGAGCCAGAAACAAACTTTTATGTGGCGGTCTAAGTTTAATAAATTGTATAGCGGCTTTACGAGCTCGGTGAAGCCCCGCAAAAGTCGATGGCCACACTATTTTCAGGAAGCGGTTTGCGGACGGTCGCAGGTGTTCCAGGACACCTACAGCGTCTGCATCTTCTGGTTTGGGTAAGGTGCTCTGCTCGGAGACATTTTGACAATTCCTTGCATAACGAATAAGCATGTTGACTCCCTGTGGTATAGAGACAGCAGTGCTGAGAACAGAAAGCACCAACAGCAAATGATACAGCTGTTCCTCAAGCCCTAGATAATAGTATCTAAATAAACAAACTATTCTGGACTATATTGTTAACATGAACTAAGTCATCCGCTATCGCGACTATCCGATAAGTCGATTTGTTTATTGCTAAAATGTTATTGAGGCGATCCAAAGGGGGTCCGCTTGAATCGATATAGCTCTTTGGGTGCCATCGAAGGAGACGTAATCCCTCGCCAGGTCTAATATATCCTATATAGTCTGCTAATCCTGGTAACACGATGCGATCTAGGTTCAAATCCGGGCATAGGCACACTTAGCTTTGTGCTGGGACCCGGCCATCAGATAGAATGCCAAACGGCGGTACCGGACGTGAAACTCGAAACAGAGGTCTAATATACCAAGTCCAAAATATTCAGGCTTGTCTAATGCTACGAGAGGATTCAGGGCAGGAGAACCCTTCCCTACTCCTCACCGCAGTCAGTCTCCGATAGTAGAAGGTGAATCGAGCGATTCTTATTCTCAAGGAAGATAGCCAAGGGGCCACGCACCCTCATTTAATTAATTAAGACATACTGAATGTCCACGTAGCTCACGAACCCACGAGACCCACGTACGTACGAAGCTCCTATTTGACTCTCCTTACTTACTTTTAGGTAGAAAGCAAGAACCACGTACATGTCACGAACGTACGAAATAAGCTAACACGTACGAGACATCCGACAAGCACTTCTAATCAAAATGATCACACACGGAAGACCTCCTAGAACATCGTGCGCCACATTGTTAGCTATAACAAGAAGTTCCGTCTGGTATACCTCAATTTAACTTGAGTTGCCTTTATAGACGAGAGATTGCTGCCGGGTATCTGCGACCTCGACAGCCTCGACAGCAGCGACCCATACCCAAGACCACATGCCGGTGTGCTCCAAAACATAAAGGCCACGATACTTTCCTGGCGCCAGAGGTACGGAAGTGCCGCATGGTACGCACTAATCTTACACTTTTCAATTCATGTCTAGCTCAAAAACTGAAAAACGTACCTGTAAGAACAGTTAATTTGTAAGTGCTCGCATTACGTGCAGGGATACCACATCATGCTGGTTCGTCGGATTGCAGGAACGGTGCCACCAGGCCCATCTTTGATACAGGGAGCGGTCTAGACCATATCCGAACCTAAACGGAGCTAACCTTCTAATGGAATGTCTAAAGGCGGTGCCTGTTCCACACATTTAAGGCCGTCCGCTGAAGACTGATTCCTTTTGTTGTCTAATAGCACATAGTGTCCAACTGTCTGGATCAAGATGGCGTACACGGTACGATTCGCTGTTCCGACGAAATTCACGAAGGTAAAAAAGACTTTGCCGTTTTCTTGACGTTAAACAGCGTGGTTGTATTCGAGCTCCAATCGCATCCAATTTGATTTTGATGACATCGTCCGAAAGACTCTTTCGATCTCAAAGCCAATCTGCCCAGGGAGGATGCATTCATTCAGTTTTGTTAAACTGCTAGTTGTCCACCTAGGACATGATCCAGGTAATACCAAAATGAAGAGTGGGGCGACGTCTGACTTCTTGGCCCTGAAACCAGTGGTGGTTCCTCACTAAACGCGCAGTTCCCTCTAGCCGGTTAATCAGTGAGTTAGCATCAGTCGAAATCTCTTGCCACTCCAACCAGCTAAAGTCTCGGCAAGCCAGATCGTCCATTCTTTCGTCTTCCGCATCCCACTCCTGCCACCAAATTTGCAGCAATAATGAGGTCTGATTGTTGGCCAGTAGCGATTATCACCGACGGGTGGAAATACATTCATTACGACAATATATATTTTTGAGTTTATTTCGGTATATATGTATCTACATATAAAAGCGGCACACTATAAACGATACATTTACGTATCGTGTATAACGCGTTGCGGTGATTCAGCCAATCAAGAGAAGCTAAACGCTGACTCTAGGTAGTCGTTGCTTCAAATACAAAAATGCACGCATGAACACAGCATGTGTCCTTAACACATGATTCTACATTACTTCGAGAACTTTGAGTAAGACCTGGTTGCCCTTATTTTAGTGAAAGCCCGCGCTGCAATCCAATCCGTACTTCATGTACAAAATCTAGTTAAAAGACATCTTTGCGATCTCTCCACAGGCCCCATTAGGAAGCTAATTTTAAGCCACTGAGCAAGCGAAAATGAATTATCCGTATCTGTCCTACCTGCTGTAAACAGCAATTCAACTTTGACTTGAAATGTTCAAAACTATGCCACAAATAGAATAAGTAAAAAAAAAACATTAGCAATAACAGTAATTACAAAAGTAACAATAATTACAAAAGGATGGTAATCGTTTTGGCAAATTAATTTCTGATGCTCGTAAAGCGTGAGGTATCAAAAGTGCAAGTCATCGAAAAATGCAACTGTCATTCTTAGGATCAGCACTCCACATGCATTGAGAAAAAGCCCTTAATTTAAGGTTTACATACATAACCTTACCGTAGCGTGCCATGTCGGCAAATGCAAACATTTTTTCATCTAATATACAAATTTAAAGTATGCGCTATTAATTCATTATACATAAAATTATTTTAGTTACGTTTTTAAATAGCTCACTGCTTACCTGGTGAGCCTATTGAAAATATTTTCAACTTCTCAGTTTTTGCAACACCTTCATGGCTTAGGATATTTTACTACCCTTAGATACGAATCGTCACCGTAGTGTTTGTAGTTGTTTCCATTAAAGGAACTAAACGGTACGCCACAGAAATGCGCGTCATGTACATAGATATGGGTACTTGGTACAAAAAGAGCTACAATAAAGCTATTAAAAGTGAAAATGAACAAGAGAATGTTTCTGCTCTGCATTTGCCATCATTTTTCAAATTCGTCTTGCAAGGATGTGTTGAGTAACTTTTCTAATACCATACCAAATGCTTTGTTCTTGTAGAACGCATTTTTCTTTGATTTTTTCGAATGCAGATCAATTTTACATTAATGTAAGTTGTGACGGTGCATCATCGACTTTATAGTTACGCAAGGTATTGCAGTAGGCGACTGCAATCCCTTGCGTACTGGACTGATGCAACATCCTTGAAATGTCTCATTAACCAATTAGGCTCCCATAGCAAACACTGCCAACGATAGAAACAACAGACGTTGCCTTTTTGAATAAAAACTAGCTCGTTTTAAACAAACATCACATAACGCTTTAATCTGCTTGATTATATCGGTAACTTAGTATGCGACACAATTAGAGATTAGAGAAGGTGTAATTAGCTAATAATGTTCAAAATCGCGTTTTGAGCTTCGCACGATATTGATTCGGGTCCACTTTCCAATGTCCAGAACGTTTCTTAAATGGGATTTTTGCATATGTAAGGTCAGGCGTCGTTGATTCTACATGAAGTAACGTTTAATATAATCTAGTGGTAGATTTACAAGCAGTTGTTTTAGAACCGCTGATGATACGTTTTGAATATCTAATTCGTCGTTCTGTAGGTATGGGAAGGCTTTATTCATCGTATGTTAAGAACTGTTGGGTTGCCTTGCGGCAGCCTATAAATACTCGTATACTGTGCAACACTCGTAAGATTATTTACGAACGGAATTCTGATGATTGGTGATATACCAGACACACTTTTCATACAGCTAATTAGAACATGATCGCCTACAAATAGCTAACGGAGCACAAGCATTATTTGGAACATGAAATTTGAAAAAAACTCAGGAGGCCAATTTGACTTCGATGCCCTCAAACTATAAGTCTGACTATTTTTCTTTATAATAAAATAATTTCTAATGCTGTGCAATTAGCGTCAGAACCGGCAAGCGAAAATAATTGTACGAGAAACGAAAGGAATATCAGAGGTACAACCAGTTGTCAATATCGTTCTTCTTAGCATTTTTCGTAGCATCCTACTTTCATGTTTATGTGATTTTAGAGCAAGCACAGCTTTGCGATAAAACTACCCCGAAATCCGATCAATTGCCGCCAAGATTAAGCAACACATGTGGTGGTGTAATAATTTAGGTGTGCACATTTTGCCGTCGATAAAAGTAAACCTAGCAGTCAGCCTCGCTGGAGCCAACATATAAACTTAAAACTTTAAAGTTGAAGGGTTCGCTAACTCCGCAGTGTATTGACTCCTAGTTGGCCTGTGATATTTTATTTTTTAAATAACTATCTGGTTTATTTATAGATAATAAAACTGCATTTTCTTTTGGGTACACAAAAAAATTGTACTTTAAGTAAGGCTATTTAGGAAGTCGAATTAAGTGAGCTATTTCACGGTCAGTAATGATTTCAGCGACAATTTCATATTCCCTTTTTGTAAACAAAAACTATGCTTGATAAATATCAGTACGGCAGATCAAACTCACTTAATCAAGGAGTAGTGTCTAATTACTATATTAATAATTTACAATATATACTTCTACAATAATTTATTGATACTCCTATACGTCCGACATCACCAATAGGACGTTGGATTTCAGAGTAGAACGAATTATATCAATGTTCTGACTCAGACCACCACGTGTTTCTAATATTAGCACGCAAATACTTTACCCACTAGGCTATCACAACGACACATTAATTTGTTTCAATATGATACATGTCATTTGTTTGAACGGATAGCCAGGCTCCCAATTGAGCTTTGTCTTTTGATCCATGCTTTTATTTATTACCTAAAAAGCAATATCCTGTAAAAATACAATAGCCTGTTTTCGTCGATGGTTACAAATGATAATATAAGTTGTTTGTTTGATTCATTACCTACAGATTTAGAAGTATTTCGCAGATTCCTGCTTTATATGAACAGAAAAGCTTTATTTATCCCAAAAATAAAAATGACGTTATATTTTGTATACCACACTTAATTTTCACAAGAAAGATCTGTTCTTCCTAATAATTTTGCCGCACCACTTTTTTTTAAGTATGATTATCTATGCCCATGCATCTTTACTGCGGCCTATGTTCTGTAATGTTCAGTAATGAACAATTAACTAATTGTTATAGGAGCCACATGTACGTTTAGGCGACAGGCGAGCCTATACTATGATGTTAAAAACCAGTTCCTATGAGACCTCTCTCTTCAGTTGGCTGTTTTTTCAGTTTTATCATAATATTTACCCTAGTATGGTCAGCTATAGTTAGAAGATAGCTGTAAGAAATTGTTGTATACTTTCTAGACCGGTTGAATAAAGCTTACCATAGATTTGCCAGAATCAGGATCATCTTTAGTTGCCGCGTCGAACACAAATGCGTCCAACAGGGTAGTAAATTGTTGATTGTCGCCTTCACGTGCCAACAATCCAATCTGTAAAAAAAATACAATCTTTGTGAGTGCTTTAAATAGCAATTTTGTGTGTTAAACTAATAATAATAATAATTTAAATAACAACTTAATCAATAGTAGTAATAATTTAAAAATGAGCAGTACTAAGCTTATGTTTGTCACCAACAATGAGGAAAAGTTCATTGATTTCTGTAATCATAGGCAATAAATATCTGAAGCTGGTCACAAGTTCGATTATAATTCAATTAATCCACGCTTTCGCTCTATTTTAAACTTGAAGAAAATGTGATAAGCATAAAAGTTATGGAACAGAAAGTTTGCTTTAAATTTCTATTTGAAAACAGACATGCGGACGAATCGTACTAAATGTGCAAAGCGAGCGACCATCACATAAGTAAAGTACACCTTTAGAGGTGTATAATGGGTTTTCTGACTGCTGAGAAGAGCCTTCAGAAACACCAGAAATACAAAAAAGTAAACGAAATTGTCTCAGCTAATATCATGAATTTTTAAGCCATGTGTTCTCAGATGGTTGTAGAAAGTTCCAACAAGTTTAAAAAAAAATGCGTAATTACGCCTGGTAAAAGTTCTCTATGCTTCGAGTTCTACGTCCGGTGTCATTATTAGGCCTTCCATCATACGGCTGGCTCCCAACCTGAAACGACGTCTATGTATGTCCGGGTTTGTGGTTCAAAAACCTATATCTCCAAAAGAACGACAGCTGGCTTTTGCTGCAACTCGATTTCTCTGGTATTAACCGTCCTGGATAGAACTAAAAAAAAATTGGTGTTATAATTTCAATTATATTCAGAGTGAACTCTGCAGCCGACAAAGTCTTGCACCTCGCTTTTATGCATTTGTATAGGTTATAAGAAGGCATCTAAGGGAAACGTGTTCGATACAGAAGCATCAAGGAAGAATCGTCAACGAACCTTGAAGTAACATTAGACATCTGATTTCTGTAAATGATTATATATAACCCGTATATAATTTAGGCTTACCTGAATCAGAAGAACAGGCAAGAGACCTGAATTCACAAAAAACCTAAGCGACAATTGGGCTTTTCTTGTCCCTAATGGCGAAGTCGATTTAAACACCTAAAAACCACAAAACATTTGAGGCCGATATTTCCTTTCACTTGTTACTTCAGTGCGTAAAAGCGAAACTCTTTACCTCAAGTTCACTGGTACATATTTGCAAGTATAGTTGGTGATCCTAGTTATTTTTGCTTTACTCTAATCAATAATACACATAGGAATATTACAAATGTTTTCACAACACCTGCGGTACGATGAGTAAAAGCCAAATTTGACACAGTTAGTGTAAGTTGCCTGCGACGAACTTCTTATTAGGGGCTTATCCTTGCCAACTAATTGGAAAACGAACTATTAGGTTTTTATCGTACACACTTAATATCAATATGTCCAGCACTTAAAGCAACGCCAGTAAGCAATTTCAGCCGCTGAGATTTGGACGCACTACAAAAAATGTGCCAGTTCCGCAACGACTAGCAACCAACGAGAAGTCATAATGCTACACGGCAGCCTTACTTAAATTGCTATCAAACCGAAAGGTATTACTTTCCGGCGTGAGGCTTAAAGCCAAGGATTCATCTCCAGCCACGGTTTTTCATATTAATAGGTCTATCCAGGAATAAGCCGGTTCTACTGTACAATAGATATATGTTTATTTAAAGTTGTCATCAAGGAAATGAACGCATACGACACTTTCATTTTTTCCGGATGGAGGCGTACTGCATCCGAAAAGTAATAATGAAATATTACTATCTGTAACCCGAGAACCCAAAACGTTCGTATACTCACCGGCATGACAGGGTGGTATAGCAGAAAGCCAAGTGACAAGCTGAAAACAGTCGGCTGTGTTAGAAGTGACAAAAGTTGAATTGGGCAGCACAACAGAGGATTTCAAATCTTCTTGTTGATGTGACTAATACAGACTGTCGAAATTAGAATTCGATTTATTTTTCGCCGCTGTGTGTTCCGAACACAGCGGCCAAACAAATTTTAAACCAATCTGCCTTTCATTGATTATTTAGTGGCGATAAAGCTGTAACAAAGAGCACCATTATAGGTCAGAATGGAAACGGTTGACAAGCCTAAGAAAAAAACGAAATACAAATTTGCGCGCGTTACATAGCCGGAGGGCTTTCGTTCTAGAAATGTGCATTTCTAATTTTTACTGGCAAATCAAGTTGGCAGCTTTAACAAAATCTTGCATTGGTTTTAAATAAAACCGACGGGACCTTCTGGTTATTACATTATTAATAAGTAACACGAAAGCAGAAGACCTTAAACAAAGAAGTGAGAGAGCAAAACTGAGTGAGCCTATATATATATACACATGTAGGCATATTGAGCAAAATATGTATATTTTTATTATTATTTATAAGAATTGTTCACTGTGATTTCCATCAGAGCTCTAACACAAACTCTTTTTTATTTATTCAAGGTATCTATCTGTGATAAATTAGTGAATTTTATTAAATACTTGGAACCAAAGCGTATATTGCAAACACAAATCGCTGATCACATAGATTACCATTTAAGTCAATAAACATTAATATAATTAATATTGCCTCGTGACTTGAAACAATATTTTACTTAGATAGCATAAAACGCGTGAATCATCCAAACGTTCTTTCAACAATAACAAAGCAGAAAACGCGCGAGTATTTAAATCAGATCTCTTATCTCAATTTGGGCTCACAAACCTAAAACAGCCCGCAGCATATCATTCTTCAGTATTCGAATGACCAGTTGGAACTATTACAGATAAAGCGCTGTCAAACGTATGGCCCGTATAGTCATAATAAGACTTTCTATTATAATAGATATATAAAAATTATAATAAAATCGAATAGAAAGTAAAATCTCACTTAAAAAAAATAGTGATGCTTGTGCAACGAGCCCTTCTATTTTGTTTAGAGATTGACTTACCATAATAAATTGCTGCAACAATTCAGTGGCAGCATCCTATAGTTTCTGGAAACCTATTTAACGAATCAAAGCATGTCTTATAACTATTTCGGTAAGATTCTCATTCAAGCAGAACGACGTCTAAATAATAGTCTAAATAATAAATAAGCGCCATTCGAGGACTTTGTCCCGCACCTGTTTTTTTTACAAACCACATTTTATTTTACCTCTGTAGGAATAAAAGGCTAGTAATATCTGCTCTACCCGAATATTTTTCGTGTTTTATATCCGGTAGTTACGCTGTTAGGTATGTTAGGAGGCTCAGTCTTGAAATGAAGTGCGACTACGCCCGAATTTGAACCTACAACACCGCGTCTCATCATATATTAACACAAACGATGCTGGTGGTTACTTCAGTGCTCATAAACATAATCGCCGCCTTGTTCTCGAACTTCAAAAGCAAGACTGAAGTTGTTGCCGATTTACGGCCAACCCAACTGACGTTGCGATTTATAGGAAAAAGTAGACTCTTCCCCTTAGCAAGACAAATATTTTGCGAGTCGTCCCCATCTTTTGCTTACACCATTTTACAATGAAAATACTACCACCACGAAGCGGGGTCGTGTTGAGTACGACAAATGAGCTACTTGAAATTTTTATTAGCATAGGTGAGTAAACTAGATGAAGCCATGGATTTAGCTTTGACCTTATTTTGCCGTTGGTTTAACTAATTTGATTTTTTGACAATTAAACCAACCAATTTAAGTCCAACAAAGAAACAGACATAGACTTTTAATAGTATACTAGACGGATTTGCCCTGCCCCTATCTTGCGTCGATTCATTTAACTAATTTAATTTGTTACCCTAACAATTACCCTGATCACTTAACCCGCTACTTTTGGCAGCTATTTCGTTAGCCTATTTCAATATGAATAGATTCGGTTTGCGTTATACCAAATATAACTTTCTAACGGATATTTATTGAAAATTCGCTCAAAGGGCCGCTCAGAATCGTATTCTGTCTTTTTCATTTCATTAGTAAGCAAGCAAATCGACACAACCAATCATATTTTTAGCGTTTTCGGGCTTATAAGCATTTTCATTTATCAATTGGCATTAACAAAAAGCGTAACGTTCTATATAGAAAAAAAATAATTTCGATACTATGATGTTGCTCTCGAAAATTTTTTCAGAGAAAATTTCCAAAACGAAACTGCTGTCAAGTATTTTAATTGACTTGTGTTAGAAACTTACTTAAAAAATTGCTGAAAATTCCCTTGAACGAAATTTGCAACATAAAAAACGAATATTTGGACTTCCGTGAATTTATTTTTTTGTTAATTTAATGTATGACGACATGTATTGCATTTTTACTTGGGTCGTTGAGATCTGTGGATTGAAAACAAGAAATCACCTTCTACATAGAGCACTACGTTTTTACTCTTTAAACGCATTTGCAACATGAAGACCGAGATTTGAGTATAACATTTTGACTCAGCTTTCGACGATACCCTTTAATTGATGCCAAGAAACACACCCTCTACATAGACCTCCATGTAAATATGTGACTGCTATTTTGTTATAAGAATTTCTTTAATCTCGCCAAAGTGTAGCTCGCATTAGCCCCTAGAATTTTTCCATCGACATGTACACATTAAGTTACAAACACTAGAAAATTGAAAAAAGCCATTTAACAAATGCGCCCATAGTTGGACATACACAGTCAATAAACAACCAATTTAATTCGCACCACAGTTATCTAAACACAATTCGGTTCCAAACTTTACTCTGTTACAGTTACTCCGTTAGCAACGCCAATTCTGTTATCTCGTTGCAGTCGTCCCGTTACGGTATTTTGATTTTTCTTTGATTAGTCCTTATTCTTAACTTAGTATTTATTCCTTTACAGTTTTCCTGCTTTATATATATATTCCGTTCTCTCATTAGAATATTGAAACAGTCCTGCTGCCACGTTGCAAATATCTCATCAGCTTGTTCTGATATTTTGTTGGTTGTTGCGCCTAACTTCTTACATAAGCTGCGGCCCTATTCCAAATTTATACTTTTACAAATGCCCACTTCAAGTTCGCCCTAAACCACGTTATGTTAATTCTGTTATCTCATTTCAACTCTTCAGTTAGAGTGATAATATTTCTTTGATCTAGTCAGTTTCTTACTTGGGGACAGTACACCTTATTTCATAAATGTAAAAAATAAGAATAATTCAGCTTTCTTATTAGAAAGCCCTACTAGTGAACTGAATGCGTCCTGCTGCTTGAAGGAATAACTGGATTTGGTTTTAAAATTGCCAGTACAAAGTTGCGCACATTTCTCTCAACTTTTATATGTAAAATTTGACTCCAAGCCAGCGTCACCAGCTTGAGACATACTGAGCTCAAACTTCGTACCCTTCTACAGCTATTCCTGCGTTCTAGTAGAACAGTGTTATAATATCAATCTGTTGCATTTGTTCTACTTTCTTACTTATTTTAATTAATTTTACTACCTCGAAAAAATTTTCACTTAACCGAAGAATTTAATTTAATTAAAAAAAGAAGAAGAAGTCGTCTGCCGCGATGGTTTTGTCAACCATTTACCAGATTAGCTAAATTAACATCAAGCCTATCCCCTCATAGAAAAAATAATTTGCCTCGTCGAAAAAAAAGGATGCCCACACTGAAAAGGTTTATAATTGACGTTGCGACTTAATCAAATAAATGTGAAAGAACGAACACTTCTCCCCAGAGTCAGTGTTACCCTGCAGTAAATGTGATCTAGTATTCCCATTTGATCCCTAACATAAGCTCAAGACCATGTCGTATCTATCTCGTCTTTTTTTAATACATGCTACCGCCCGGAAGAATTATTTACTAAATGGATTATGTATGTCATATGAACCATATATGCTAAAATGGTTCAGGTTTCGCCAGCTATTTCACAAATTAACCAAATTAAAAATATTTATGGGAGAAAGAAACTGTTGCCAAGAAGAGATATTCACGCACTTAGAAAAAATGAAATGAGATTATCCATATGTCAGCAATTATGATAAAAATCACCACTTTTCCAAACTCTTCATAAATTCTTTCGACGGTTATCGAGCAAATTGTCATAAACTGTACGTTTGGCCAAATGAACATCACGCTTTATGGCATTACTCTATAAGGGAAATATCTTACTCGGTCGGTCCTATCTTATGAGGCAGCTCTTCTTTGAATGGAATTTTAGTACCACACCCAATGATCGGCCCAATCCAACGACTTATGAAAGGATTTTCGATGAAATTGTTTCAGTAATATTTAGATGAAATGAACATTAACAGATCGTAGAGATACAAGAAGAAATGGACATGTCTGTGCGTGTTCGTTTATCACTATCACGATTTCAAATCACCGCATAGCCAAGGAAATGTTAGGGTTACGTTTACAGTATTAGTGCATTGCATAGAATGTAATGCAAAACTACTTAAATAAAAATACTACTAGAAAATATTGTGTAGCGTGTATGCAATTCCATTCTTCAAACGCACGGACCGTGATGTCGTTCGTCTGTAAAAATCATTGGAACTTAGCAACTCTTTCCCCGGCCTCATTCGGTCGCTGTCGCCAACTATGAGACATTTTTAAATTGATGGTCCTAAACGCTCGGCTAGCTTTTTTTCCTTTGCTGCGGCTTGTGTCACCGCTACACGATGAAGGCCGCTTGTCTTACTGAACCGACGAAAGTTAGCTTTTCTGCGAGGATGTCACTTCTCGCCGCGGGTGCACAGTGAAGTCTGCCTTCAAAAGCAGCTTTTCAAATAAAAGTGCCGTCTGTCGAATTGTGTTATCACAGATCGATTCGACAAGTGACCAAGTGAATAACGTGATCTGCAATGTCCGGAAAAATAGGGAAAACGAAATCGAAGGAAAAAAAGTGCAAGGTAATACTAAGAACGTCACTAGACAAGCAAGACATTCGCCGCTTCCAGCAATTACTTCGCAACACTATCAGCGCTTCATCAGGTGAGAGATCAACAACGCGATACTGATCAGCCTTGCATTCTTATTAATACAATATGTAAAAAAAACGTAGGAGACATTCAGAATAGATTAAAAAACCATTGTAAATATTGCTAATACATGTATAATATTATGACGACTGCCTCAGTGAGGGCTAGCTCCCACTACTCCCACTAGCTATTTCATTAAAAGCACATTTTGTGTTGATGACCTAACTGTCAACATTCAGTTAAGAGGTGATAACTCCGTCTGCTGGAAACATCCGGAATGCGAATTAATGTATATCTTTTTCGTAGAGCTGTATGATCCCAAGGACGTGGATGTGTTGGTAGAGGACGAGGTAATATGTGAGAAATTTTTACGACGCAGTGAGGCTTGCGTCGAGAATGCGTTAGATTACGCGATTCAAAGTTTCCGTTGGAGGAAAACCTTTGGAGTATCAGGTAAGTACGCGACTTGCCTCTCCCACCTATTATACTCTTTACTGACCGAAATCTCTCTAAATAATGCAGCCTAACATTCTCATGCCAAAGTGAAGCAAAACAAATGTATAGGAGGTTAGCCAACCCTCTGAAGCTGCAGTGCCGAACGTAACACCCAAAACATCTAGCTGGATACGAAGATTTTTATACTTTTACGTATTTTTGTAGCTTTCAATGCATAGTTTGTGCCAGTCTCTAGCTTTATTATCATTCTATAATATATGATGAGCAACGTATAGCTGGACATGCTAAAGAAGTGAGGTAACCAGTCTGGTTAAATGATGCATTCAAGACACACGGAAGTTGACACATACGAACTAATATGGCTAATTACTTTTATAAACTGTAAACTTGTATCCCTGATGTAAACACCACTTTCGTACCTGAAACTATCACTCAAATAATAAAGCCGTAAAAAGTGGACTCGGCAAATCGGCAAAATCTGTTGGATTTCGCTTCCTTTTAGTAAAGATATATATGGCTAGCTAAGACTGATGCGTACCTTTCGTCACTTCGAACGAGGCAACCAATGCAAATTTATTGGATCGTAATGTGTGGCACATTCAGCGTGGAGAAAGAAATTTGCCTACATACTAGGAAAATTACGGACGTAATATTACGGATAGTTGGTCTGATCTATTTCACTGAACCAAAACGACCCGGTTGTTACGTGCGTGCTGTGTTTTTATGTACGAAAGACGGCACCGCTTTACGAGAATAATTAGTATGAAGAAGCCTACTAATTTCTTAGTATTATTCGTTGCTAGAACAGACGAATTATATAAGTATTGGAGTTTTCTTAGTTCGCACACGTCTCAGACTTCAATATGGCTTCGTTTTTATTTATTGACACTGTGCACAAGACAGGAAATCAGCCATTTTAAATATGAACTCATCTATTTGAAATGAAAATATGTAGCTATGAAACGTGGTGGATTAGCTGTGCCTTCTTAATCGCGCACGATGCTTGCATTGAAGTTGATCAGACCCGAGTAACAACAATTCGAAGGAGTCATATTGTGTCTTCATATTATACTTCGTAATAATAACCAAAATACGAAGATGGTGTTCCAAGGTTTTTTTATGGTTATATCTTATCAACTACTGCAATTTATCTCATTTGTGTTTATGACTTAATATAATTGTAGCAGGCAGGTATCAGTTCCATTCACTGCGGTGCTGGTACGCTACAGGAAAAAAGCTATGCATGTCTATGGGGGCTTAGTTTTTTAGAACAATGAAAAGACACTATTGAGTTATCTAAGAGTGTCTCAAAATTTGTCCTTGGTGGTATTAGAGCCGCATTTCTTTGTAATTTTAATACGAGGTTCAGTCTGGCATGGCATCAGTTAAAGAATAGCAGTCCCTCCGATCCACAATCATATCTTTATGGTGGCAAATGATATTATTTGTCGCTGGATATACAAAAATATCGATGATTTAGGCCCTTTCTCTAAATCTAGGAACTTTTCGTGCACCGCTTTGCTGAGCAGAAGGCGATCGTGTACTGATCTTGCACAAGATAAATAAGCGACTATACAAACATAATAATATGCGCAGAAGTTCAGAGCCGGACTAATTCGACGTATGTCGTTAATCTGCGAAACTATGCACTTCTTCCATATTCTTGGCCTAGGCATACATAGAATGTCAGTTATATAGCTAATATGTATCATCAAACACTATAATATAGAGAATACTTTAATACGCCTTTTCTTTAACCTCAGTGTCGAACTACGCCAATACCTCCGCCATTACGACCGATAATATTTCCAATTATTCCTGTACCGATATTATTCGGTGATAATAATACTCACTGAACCAGTGTTCCGTGACGTTACCGTATATATATACACCTATAACGTATATATATATATATATACGTTATAGGTATATATATTAAACTAGTTATATATTATATACCTATAACATATAACTAATTTTCAATAGGCAATATCCGTCCAGTCCTGAATTCCCTTCTTTGCAATAACACGATTGCCTGTATTATCCTCAACACATAATTGACAGATTGATTTGTCTTGCAGCTATCGATGCCAGTGGTGTAAGCCAACTAGCGTTGGATTCGGGCGTAATGTACTTCCACGGATTTTCCATCGGTGATGCCTTTATTCGTGAGTCTGTATAAATGCAATTTTCTTAAAAAAAAATTTTAGAACGTAGATAAATGCGTGAAAATATAAACCAAAACAAAAGGACTTAACTTAATTTCAATTATAACGTTTGCTTCTGATTGCAAGTTGTTTTGAAATGTTGACTAAACCTTTCTAGTTCCAATGTCGATGAAGCATTTGATTAGTTAGTGGGACTTTTTATATTTGGAGCGTAGTGAGTATTCACCTGTTCAGTCGGTGAGATGATTCTTAAGTTAAGTTATAACGAATCCTCGCCAATTTTTTGCTTTATTCTTATCTCGAATATGGTACTGGATACTACGTATCGCCGATAACGGCCATGGATTATTTCAAAAAGTTGTTGCAATGTAATGGTAAAGTATAGTCTATCCATTTCTATTAACTGGTATTATTTTTCGTGTATACCTCAACGTTTGAATATGAGGCAATAGTATGAAACGTTTCGTAGAATCGGTCATCGATAACGACTGCCACGGGTAGGGAGTTTATTGCCGGTTAGTAGCCGACGTAAGCGATGAATTAAACTGATGAATGCAGAAAATAAATAATAAATACGTCAAAAGCAACATTTCATTGGTGGTCTTAGTCTGTCAGTGTGCCTCGAATGCTTACAAAGCATGAAGGTTCTTTTGGGAAACTGAAAACAATTTGTTTACAGATTTTTATAGTAAGCACAAAAATCAACCCACGTGTTATACATTACGTACGTTTATCTCTTCACATACAAACATAATCTGAAATTGTTCCTTCATTTAATCAATACTGGTCTCAAGAAAAAAATTTTTTCATCACTTCGTGTTGTTTCGACCGGAGGAGGCTTAAAAATATGGCCGAGATTTAGAAAATACAAAAAACTTAGGCACAGAACAGAAATGCAGAAAAGTGGATTCGAGACCAATATACGTATAACTGTATTTTTTTTGTAACAGCATGCTACTTTCGTCCATAATCAAGTCGGCTTCTGCGTACTGAGAAACATAGCTGAGCAATTATTACGCAGAGAATGCATTACAGTTGGTTGTTGTATGTATGTATGAATATATAGAAAAAACGTTGCTGTAAAAACTCAATATGAACGTGTAACGTTCGGGCGGCTAGTGAGCGTTTCTGGGAGCGTGCGTTGCCAATCTAATTAGACAAAACGTTAGCTTGTCGGTAGAGTTTCAGCCTCGCGAAATATTATTTGTATGTCTATTTATTCAAAAGATCCCTAACGAGGAAGTACTGCATGTAGCTAGCTTATGTAGCCTGACTGTTGGAGGTAACACAATAATAAACTGCTTGATAGTCTCCATACGCGTAATTACTAGTGCGATAAACGAGTCACTTCAACAACAGCTAGCGTTACTTTAGTACGAAAATCTGATTCTGTATGTGGATATAAGGTCTCGTATAATGATTTATGTAAACAAGATGTGTGAAGTTGCACAGGAGAATTCGTTAGGTGCGTATGTCCTCTGGAGTTCTGAATTTAGGCGGTACTTATGGCCTAACCTGATAATTAATTTTTGACTCAATTAGCCGTTCTTATTTAAAGGATACGAATTTAAAACCGATTTAATTACTGTAGATAATAACAAATGTTATTAAGTCCAGGATAGAGAAAAGAGCACGATCTAAAGGCATGATTTTTAACTTTTTTTATTTAAGTTAACTTTGATCTTCATAGTTCTTCATAGGAGGAGTGTCTGAGCTCAAGTCAGGATGAATTTGGAAGCCACCTTATTTTATAAAACAACAATTATGGTATGCTGGTTCACGCCTTATGAACAGCAAAAGAGGAATTTGACTTGTTTAAAAATAAGTTCAACACAGCGGAAGAATAGTTTTTCCAAACGTCTCTTGACTACCTGTGTAGTTTTCAGGACATGTTAACTGTAAACTTTATTATTTAGCCTTAAGTTTCAATGGATGTACTGTTTGTTCTTGTTCGAATAAGGAATAATACGAAAAAATTGGAGCAAAGACAAGAATATTAATGAAGCCTTCCAAGCGATTTTAGTCCGGCTTAGCTCCTCTGATATTAAACAACAAACGTGTTCGTGTACCGCCTATGGCTGCGTCGGCAATTCTTTGGAAATCTTTTTTAGCATCTTAGACCTGTTTCTTTTTCGAAAATAGCAAAATGTCAAAGACAAAGTCTATACGGAAGCTAAGCGAAATAACAATACTTTAAAAAAAAAACGATTTTAATAGATCCGTAGGTCTTTGTTTCTTCTGGCAGCCAAATCACTTCGCTAAAACTCTAATCATGCAATCTACATTACGCTTCCTAAAAAATGTACACTTCTAAACAAAATATACATTTACCAAAAAACAACTTTTTAAAACACTGGTTGTCCTTTAAAACATAAGCTTCAGTACTATTTCGTAGCATCATTTCAGAAGCTCCTCACGGTAGGAGACATATAATCAGCAATATAAAGAAACGAGCAAGAAAAGATATTTTTATACATATCATTCGTTTCATTGTTCGGATCATTATTGGGCAATAAATAGTATATCTAGCCCCGTATCCACTCGTCCAGATCTCTTCAGCTGTCCCAGATGCTCTCTAGTAGTATTTTGTTAAAAAAAATGTCTGCCTGTCTATCTATGGCACACTTCTATGCACCTCTATGTTCATTCATAGAAATCGGCTTAATGCTTCTACATTACTTCTTCCGTTCTTTCTTCACATTCTTATAGCAGAGGCTTATTTATAGTAAACTCCTGTATGCTAAAATGTATTTCTGTAACTCTGTTTGTGCGCGGGTATCAACGTCTTCCTTAATAGTTTCTACTTTCATTTTTCAGCGATTCCTTAGATCTGTTATATAATATAAAAGCACAGTGTTTCTTAAAGACTTCATACATAATATTACAATAATATATATTTAGAAGCTGTGTGTCTGAGCTTGGTCAGCACCTCAGTTAATAAGTACCTTGACAAAAAATTGTCACAACAACAAGCAAGTTGAAAAACGGCTGTATAGCAAACGTTTGAATATTTTTTATCGAAACGAAAAGTGTTTCGTCACATTTTATTAAACACATTAATCACGCTCCAAACATTGTTTACAGGTTTTTTTTTTATATGTTATGTGGCATTTTTAAATAATTTTATCATTTTTGGTTTTTTAATCATTGGTAGTCATTATTAAAGAGAGTGTATAGCTGTTTCGACGCTTAGCGTTATATCTTTATTTCAGATTTTAAGAATTTATATCTTTATTTAAGAATTTACTGGTTATTATCACCTACATACCTACGTTATTACATCTACAGTACTCTTAAAGCTAAATTAAACAAACTAGAAGATTTAAAGCCTATATATGTGTATGTATATATTGCTAGGCCTACGGAAACCTGATTTTCCGCAGAGTCTATGATAGCATCCATGAATAACAAAGGCAGATAGCGAATTGACCCTTTTCACTCGGTTGTGCGATTTATTAGAGATTTCTAATTCGACAGTACTGTGCTCGTTTTTGCCGTGGATGACAACCAGTCACCTTGCCCGTGTATAGCTGCAGGATTTATTCATAGATTAATATCTTATATTCAAAGGTTATCATAATGTTTGCATAACTTTGTCGCACTTATTGGGTAAGGTACTCATCTCGTCGCCGGTATCCTTTACCACTTTTATATGTCGAGTTTTACGTCCGATGTCGCCGCTAGACGCTCCACTACGAAAGTAAGTGTGTTCAAGCCTGGGCTCGAACTTAGACCACAACGTGATTAGCAGGTAAATACGTTACCCACTAGACTATCACAGTGATATCTGTAGCGGTTGTGCTTCATGACATCTCACCGTTTAGACCTATTCGCAAGCCTTTCCTAGGTGTGTGGGATAGGATCTCCTTGTTTCGACGGGCCGCATAACTTCCAGCGCCTGCTGCCATCGGAGGCATCTTACACGACTCCGTGACACTACTATAGGCACACATTACTAAGCCCCCATCTTGCCACACACACATCTTGCTATCCGCTCTGTCTAGTAGGGTCATTTCTATCTGCGAATTCGCAGATCCTGGTCAACAGGGATGGACGCGCTCACATGTTATAATCCGTATTCCTTGGTCCAAAAAATAGCACGCGACTGACGTACAGTTCTAAACGTCTGGGCGGTCCATATAGCAGGTTGGAAACCCCCCCAGGCTTTGACTGAATCCAATCGAAAAAACCTGATTCAAAATGTATTCGTTGAAAATGGGCATGTGGACATTTTCCACACTACTTTTACAAAGGACCCATTAAGTGATACCATGATCGATGCACTAAATATGGTATTTTCGATGGCGGACATATGAGTTAGTGGGTCCGCACTACTTTGATATTCTCCAGTGCCAAAGCAACTGGCACTTGCCGCTGTCTTTTTTTTGCTTTGAAAACTACAATTCTTGCGGGCGTTACGTTTTATACCCTAGTTTGAAACAGAGAAAGCACCGCCTTCGAAAGCGCATGTCCGGTTTCTCCACTGTATGGTCTCAGACCATTCGAATTACCTCGAAGTAGTATTCGACCCTGGTTGCTGTAAAAAAATTTGCAAATGAAAAGTATCCGATTTTTTGGGTCTTTATAATGTTACCCAAAAACATGCTGTACTCGAGGCTTCGCTTATTCAGCAGTACTTATTTAACACATACAGGAATTACTCGTTGCGACCTGTAGCGGCAACAAAATCCCTCTGGCAACTCGGGGGTGTTCAGGAAAAAGGTCCGTACAACTTTTCCTATATTTACCAGTTAGGCGGCTACACCATCATCACCAAAGTGAGACAGATTAGCATACCTTTATTTAGCTGTTAGGGACGAGCGCTTCATATCCATTCGCTCTAGTCCTCTATAGCCCCGTACGTGTGTTAATCTACAAATTAACATTATAATGCCTTCATTTATATGTATATACAGAGGACACTTGCTCATGGAAAAATAGTTGGATGTATCTCACCTTGCGAACCGAAATATCACACGTCACATTTGTTCTGTAAGATC